TTCTTCCGTGGGCGTGGGTCCGGGCTCGGGGCTTCGCCCGTCGCAGGAGGGGTGGGCTCAGGGCCTTCTTCCGTGGGCGTGGGTCCGGGCTCGGGGGCTTCGTCCGTCGCAGGAGGGGTGGGCTCATGGGCCTTCTTCCGTGGGCGTGGGTCCGGCTCGGGGGCTTCGGCCCGTCGCAGGAGGGGGTGGGCTCAGGGCCTTCTTCCGTGGGCGTGGGTCCGGGCTCGGGGCTTGGCCCGTCGCAGGAGGGGTGGGCTCAGGGCCTTCTTCCGTGGGCGTGGGTCCGGGCTCGGGGGCTTCGTCCGTCGCAGGAGGGGTGGGCTCAGGGCCTTCTTCCGTGGTGGGCGTAGGTCCGGGCTCGGGGGCTTCGTCCGTCGCAGGAGGGGTGGGCTCAGGGCCTTCTTCCGTGGGGGGCGTGGGTCCGGGCTCGGGGGCTTCGTCCGCCGCAGGAGGGGTGGGCTCAGGGCCTTCTTCCGTGGGCGTGGGTCCGGGCTCGGGGGCTTCGGCCCGTCGCAGGAGGGTGGGCTCAGGGCCTTCTTCCGTGGGCGTGGGTCCGGGCTCGGGGGCTTCGCCCGTCTGCAGGAGGGGTGGGCTCAGGGCCTTCTTCCGTGGGCGTGGGTCCGGGCTCGGGGCTTCGCCCGTCGCAGGAGGGGTGGGCTCAGGGCCTTCTTCCGTGGTGCGTGGGTCCGGGCTCGGGGCTTGGCCCGTCGCAGGAGGGGTGGGCTCAGGCCTTCTTCCGTGGGCGTGGGTCCGGGCTCGGGGGCTTCTGGCCCGTCGCAGGAGGGGTGGGCTCAGGGCCTTCTTCCGTGGGCGTGGGTCCGGGCTCGGGGGCTTCGTCCGTCGCAGGAGGGGTGGGCTCAGGGCCTTCTTCCGTGGGCGTGGGTCCGGGCTCGGGGGCTTCGTCCGTCGCAGGAGGGGTGGGCTCAGGGCCTTCTTCCGTGGTGGGTGTAGGTCCGGGCTCGGGGGCTTCGTCCGTCGCAGGAGGGGTGGGCTCAGGGCCTTCTTCCGTGGTGGGTGTAGGTCCGGGCTCAGTGGGTTCGTCCGTCGGAGGAGGGGTGGGCTCAGGGCCTTCTTCCGTGGGTGTGGGTTTGGGCTCGGTGGGTTCATCAGTTGCAGGAATGTTGGGCTCAGGGCCTTCTTCTGTGTGTGGAGTGTTGGGCTCAAGGTTTTCTTCTCTGCGTGGATTGTTGGGCATGGAGGGTCCTTTTGTGGGTGTAGTGTTGGGCTCAGTGTGTTCCTCAGTTGGAGGAGTGTTGGTTGCAGTGGATTCCTTTGTTGTTTGAGTGTTCCTGGTTCCACTGTCCCTCTTTTCAATTCTCAGGGGTGTTCCTTCCTGTCTGGATGTTTCCTTTTCTTCCTTTTTCTCAGGGATTCTTTCATCTCCAACCGTTCCCGGTATCCCAATTGCCCAGAGCTCCGTGTCCTCTCTGCTTCTCCTGGATTCTGGCCCTGCCCCCACAGTGTGCTTGGAGTCGATCCCGCCTGGGGTTTCGGCAGCGTCGCCGGAGCCTGCGGAGAGAGCCAAGATGCTCAGTCTGAGGGGGTCTCAGGTTGTGTCCTGCTCTTGGTGTCCCAGTTTTCCATCTGGATTTTGGAAACCTCCCCCAGGCCCTCTTGGGCTCTTTGAGGTTTTTGGGACCTGTCAGATCAGGTGGGAACGCCCCTACGATCACACTGGGCCTTCCACGGGTTTGGGATCCCCAAGAACATCCCCCTTTGCTTTTTCATTTTCTACCCTCTTCCTGCTTATCCAATCCACCTCTCCCTGTGACGTTCCCAGCCCTCTGCATTCCCTGGATCTCCAGTGGCCCCGGTTTCTCTTCTACACCCAGACCTTGGCCCTTCTTTGCCCCTTTTGCCCTTTTTCCGATTCCCGAAAGAGAGAAGAAGGGGAGTTGTTCCCACATTTGCCACACGGATCCAGAGTTTACATTCTCGACAGGGAAAGGAGCCGAGAGGCTCCCACATTCCCAATGTGGAATTGGACTTTCCATTCCCAAAAGGGGGAAGGAACAAAGACAGTCCCACATTCCTGACACAGACGTGGAGTTTCGATTCCTGACAGGGAAATGGAACAAAGACACTCCCACATTCCCCACACGGATCCCGAGCCTCGATTCCCGACAGGGAAAGGAGTGGAGACGCTCCCACATTCCCAGCGTTGGACTCCGGACCGGCAGGTGACACCTTTGGTCCCCATTTACAGCTCCCGTCACCCCCCAACCCAAGGAGATTCCCTTTGTTTTCCACCCTCAAATCCAAGTGTGTTGGAGGGTTTGCTTTTTGTATTTAATCCTTAAATTTCCCTTGGAAAATTCCCAGCTCGGGGGAAAAAAACCAAACTACCCGAATTAACAAAAACAACACCAAAAAAACCCCTAAAATGCCCCCCCAAAAAAGGCCTCGTTGTCTCAAAAAATCCCCATTTTTTCCCACTCCGGTTGCTCCCGGTTGAGATTCTCCAGCTGAGACGGAGCTGCCTCACTCCTTAATGAGCTGCTCTTGTGTAATTAGCTCGGCCTCTTAACGAGTTTTGCGAGCTCCGACCGCTGGGATGAGCGGGGGAGGGGGTGGGGGGGCTCCGATCCGCAGCTCCATCCGTGTCCCGGTGCTGGGATTGGGGGAAGGTCGGGGGTGGGTGGGAAGTGGGGCCAGTTTGGGGATGTCGGCCCAGGGTGAGGAGGGGTTGGGTTGGACCACCCTGACCCATCCCTGTGGATCCCCAACCCATCCCTGTGGACCCTGATCCATCCCTGTGGATCCTGACCCATCCCTGTGGACCCCTGACCCATCCCTATGGATCCTGATCCATCTCCCTGGACCCCCAACCCATCCCTGTGGATCCCCAACCCATCCCTGTGGATCCCTAATCCACCCTGTGGATCCCTGACCCATCCCTGTGGATCCCTGATGCATCCCTGTGGATCCTGATCCATCTCTGGACACGCAACCCATCCCTCTGGGACCCCCGACCCCTCTCATGGTGGGACACGACCTCAAAGAGGGGGGATTTTGACCACGGAAAGGAGGGGACGGGTTTGGGAGAAACCCCCTTGAGGATCCCCCCTGGGGTGTCACAAGATGTCACCTCCCAGTCCGACCTCATCGTGCCCCCCCAAAAAAAAACATCCAAGGAAAACAACTCCCCCCTCCCCTTTTTTTTCCAGCTCTACTCACTTGTTGTCCCTCCGAGGATAAGGAGGAGGAGGAAGGAGAAGTGGAGGAGGAAGATGGAAAGTTTCATTTTCCCTGTCCCCTCCAATCCTCCACCCTCACCATGCCAGAGCCGTAACGCGCCCCGAGCCGCCGGAGCCCCGGGAAGAAGCACCGGGAAAAGACCTTTGCCCAGAGGATGGGCAGGGACAGAACCGCCCAGTCCCGGCAGCGGTGTGGACCTCGAATGGCCAAAGGTCTTCTGGAACCACCCCTGGTCATCAGGGACACCCCCGGGGACCCTTTGGGTCAGCGTTGGGTCAGTGTTGGGTCAGCGAAGGGTCATCATTGGGTCAATGAATGGTCATCGTTGGGTCATTATTGGGTCAGTTAAGGGTCATCGTTGGGTCAATGTTGGGTCAGTGTTGGGTCAAGGTTGGGTCAGTGTTGGGTCATCGTTGGGTCATCATTGGGTCATTGTTGGGTCATTGTAGGGTTATTGTTGGGTCATTGCTGAGTCATCATTGGATCAACATTGGGTCATTGTAGTGTCATCATTGGGTCATCACTGGGTCAACGAGGGGTCAGGGTTGGGTCATTGCAGGGTCGTTGTTGGGTCAACATTGGGTCATTGTAGGGTCATTGGTGGGTCAGTGTTGGGTCATTGTAAGGTTATTGTAGGGTCATCACTGGGTCATCATTGGGTCAACGTTGTTGGGTCGTCTTTGGGTCACTGCTGGGTCACCACCCAAACCCCACCCCAAGAAATGACCACAAGCAACACCCTAACCACCTCCACACCCCAACCCTCTTCCCCCTCCTTTCCCTTCCTCTCCCAGCCCGTCCCACTGTGCCGGCGCTCGGGGAACGGCCCTTTCCTCCCGCCCCGAAAGCAAACAGCGCAATCTGCAGGGCCGGGAGGGGCAGGCGGGGCGGGGAACGCGGGAATTTCGGTGCCAGGAGGTCACTTTTTATGGGGTTTGGGTGCCGGTTCCGCCCTGCCGATGTTTGGCGAGTGGGTGGGGAGGGTGTGGTTTTTTGGGGAGAGAAATTTCTTCCTTCTCTGGCATTTTGGGGTTAATTTCAAGCCCTTGGTTGGTGAGGTGAGGGTGGGAATTCCCCTTCCAAACCACCCCTGGACCCCCACCCCAAAAATCAACCTGAAGTTTGAGCCCAGAATCACTGATTTTGACCCCAAAAATGCCAACCATGACCCCCTAAATCCCAAACTCAGTCCCAAGACTCCAAGTCTTGATCTCCAGAACCCCAATATTGAGCAAAAATAGTGTGTGACCCCCCAACCCCCCCAATTCAACCCCAAAACCCCAATTGTGGCCCCCAAACCCCAATTCAAGCCGAAACCCCCATTTTTGACCCCCCAAAACCCCAATTGTGACCCCAAAACCCCCCTAATTCAACCCCCAAAACCTCAATTGTGGTCCCAAACTCCCAATATCGATCCCAAAACCCCTAAGCTTGACACACCCCCCTCGCCCCAAATCTTGGAATCTTGGAACCCCCCGCCCCGAGTGCATCCCCCTCTTTTCTTTGGGAATTCCTACCCTCCCTCCCCTTTCCCTTTTCCAGGTGGAGTTTTCCAGGAGAGGAAATAAATTCCTTTAATAAATATAATTTCTGCCCAAAATGAGGTTCTTTCCCTGCCCCGAGCCCAGGATCCAACCCCATCCCAATCCCAGGGATGTCCTCTCCAAGGAGACCACTCACCTCCACACCAAAAACACCCCACAGTTGGGGGTGGGGGGAGGGGGGGGGGTCCCTCCTCTCACCGAGGAACCTCATCCCGAGGTTTTTGGCCCCCAAATGAGGGATTTGGGGGAAGGAGGGAACGAGGGGTTTGGGGGGGGGGGCATTTTCCAGACCCCCTGCCAGGTTTGGGGGTCACAGGGAGGCTGCAGTTTCCGCTGGCACCTGCGAAGTGGGGAGGGGGAGGAGAGTTAGGGGGGAAGGGTCGTGTTTGGGGGTTTGAGGGTTTTATTTGGGGTTTGGGGCTGTCTTGGTTGGGGTTTGGAGGGTCAAGGTTGGGGATTTGGGGTCAAGACAGAGGGTTTGGGGGGACCGCTGTGAGGGGTCAAGGTTGGGGTTTTAGGGTCGAGGTTGGGGTTTTAAGGTCGAGGTTAGGGGTTTGGTGTCAAGGGTGGGGTTGAAATGGGGGTTTGGGGGGTCACAAATGTGGTGTTTTGGATTGAATTGGGGGGGGGTTGGGGATAACAACTGGGGTTCTGGGGTGGCATTTTGGTGGAGGGGGGGTCACAGTTTTTTGAAACTGAGATTGGGGGGTTTGAGGTCACAGTTTGGGGGGGGGAGGGTTGAGGCTTTTGAGCATCACCGTCGGGATTTTGGGATCTTGAGACCGGGGATTTCGTCCCAAAATTTAGGGCGAGGACACCCTCACCCCAAACCCCCCCCTCCTTCCTCCATCACCCACCGGCTCCGGCGGATCCGCCACCTCTGCGCTGGCCTTGTAGGTGTTGTAGGGACCTGGGGGGAGGGAGAGGAGGGTCCAACCAGGTTTTTGGGGGGGTTGGGGGGGGTCTTTTCCCTCTCTGGTGCTGGTTTTACCCCAAAATTTTTGGGGTCTCACCTTGGCGGGTGGCGCCGGACCGGCCGTTGACGTGGTAGATGCCGGTGACGCGGCTCTTGTGGCCACCGTCCCCCCAGGGCTCCTGGCCCGCCGCGCTGTGGGGCCGAGAGAGGGGTCAGGCTCTCGGGGAGGGGGTGGGGAGGAGACTGGGTGGGGCAGGGGTCTCCTGACCCATCCCTGTGGACATTCAGCCCATCCCCAGGGACCCCCAACCCATCACTGTGGTTCCCTGACCCATCTGCCAGGAACTCCCAACCCACTCCCAGGGACCCCCAACCCACCCCTGTGGACCCCTGACCCATCTCCCAGGAGCCCCCAGCACACCCTAGGGACCCCCGATACATCTCCCCCACCCTCCCACCCCTGTGGGGCAAAGCTGGAGCTCCCTGGTTTTTGGGGAGGGGTCCCACCTGGTCCCAGGTGATTTCTTCCTGGCCCGGGCCAAGTGGAGGGTGAGGATGATGCAGAGGATGAGGAGGATGAGGAGGGTCAGGCCCAGCCCCAGCCCCACCCCCAGGCCCAGCCCCAGTTTGCTGATGTGGGTCTGGCAGCGGTCGCCGGCCGAGAGGTACCAGGGCAGGTCGGGGCAGCTGAAGGGGGGGTCACACATCATGGGAAGGGTCTCTGTGCCCCCCCCAGAGCAGGGTGGGATCCACCCAGAAACCCACCGGAGTCTCCAGGAGCCTTCCATGGAGATCCGAGCCCGGGAGCAGGGGTTGGGAGAAGGTTTTGGGGGGGAAGAGGTGGTCAAAGGCTTTTGGGGGTCAGGGATTGGGGGTCAAGGGTTGGGTTTGGGGTCAAGGACTGAGTTTGAGGGTCAAGGGTTGGGTGTTGAGGATCAAAGGCTGGGTGTTGAGGATCAAAGGCTGGGTGTTGAGGATCAAAGGTTGGGTGTTGGGGTCAAGGGTTGGGTTTGGAGAGCAGGAGTTGAGGGTTGCAAGTCAAGGCTTGCAGGATCGGGGTCAAGGTTTTGGGGTCAACATTTCGGGCCGTGGTGGCACCTCGGGGATCAAACACCGGGGTCAACAGTGTGGGGTCAAACATTGGGGTTCAGCTTCTCCGCCCTTGGCAGGAGTTTCGGACCCAAATGAAGACTCAAGACCCACTTTAAGGCGCTCTGAGGGTTGGGCCTGGGGGTGTGTGTGGGGAGGCCACTCACAAGCACTGGGGTCCCTGCAGGGTGAGCCGGCAGAGCCCCTGGTGGCAGTCGAAGGAGCCGGGGACGTTGAGGGTGCAGTTGGTGACGCAGAGGAGCCCGTTGGCCGTGCGGTGCGGGAAGTAGAACTGGCTGAAATTTGCCGGCGCGTGCTGCCGGCACAGCTCTGGACAGGGAGGGTCAAGGGTTGGGTTTGGAGGGCAGAGGTTGAGTGTTGGAGACCAAGGGTTGGGTTTGGGGGTCAAGGGTTGGATTTGAGGTCAAGGGTTGGGTGTTGGGGTCAAGGGTTGGGTTTGGGGTCAAGGGTTGGGTTTGGAGGGTAGAGGTTGAGTGTTGGAGACCAAGGGTTGGGTTTGGGGGTCAAGGGTTGGATTTGGGGTCAAGGGTTGGGTGTTGGGGTCAAGGGTTGGGTTTGGGGTCAAGGGTTGGGTTTGGGAGTCAAGGGTTGGGTTTGGGGTCAAGGGTTGGGTTTGGGGTCAAGGGTTGGGTTTGGGGGTCAAGGATCGGGTGTTGGGGGTCAAGGTTTGGATTGTTGGGGCCGAGGTTTTGGTGTCAACATTTCAGGTTGTGGTGGCACCTCGGGGACCAACCACCTTCACACCGGCACCAAGACTTGGAGTTTTGGTCAAAACACCTCCCAATAGTCCTCTGACCCCCCTTCCCTCCCCGGCTGGTGTCTCCCCCTGCCCACGCCCACCTGTGTCATTGAGCGCCAGCGTCGCGGCCCGGGCGGCTCTGGCCGAGGTTGCGCTGAAGCAGAGCCCGTCTGGGGGAGGGGATGGCACGAGGGGGTCACCGGGGGCCACCAGAGGTGGCGGTGGGACCACCCCGTGGATGGGGGGAAGGGGGGCACCCACCAGTGGAGGGGCTGCAGTTGTGGGGCGGGGCCGCGGCGTTGGCCACTGCCAGCAGCTCCAGGGCCCGCCGATCGAGGCTGGCATTCCCGGCACGGGGCTCCAGCAGGACTCGGAAATTCACCACGACACTGCCGCGGCTGGGGGGACACGGGGGTTGGTGGGGGTGGGGAGGCTCAGCTGTCCCATCCCATCCCATCCCATCCCATCCCATCCCATCCCATCCCATCCCATCCCACCCCATCCCATCCCATCCCATCCCATCCCATCCCATCCCATCAATCCTATCCCATCCCATTCCGCCCCATCCCATTCCACCTCCATCCCATCCCATCTCCATCCCATCCCATCCCATCCCATCCCATCCCATCCCATCCCATCCCATCCCATCCCACCCCATCAATCCTATCCCATCCCATCTCCACCCCATCCCATCCCATTCCACCCCATCCCATCCCATCCCATCCCACCCCATCCCATCCCATCCCATCCCATCCCATCCCATCCCATCCCATCCCATCCCAATCCCACCTCAGGCTCAGGACGTGGGTCCTGCGGTATCCGGAGATGTTCCGGTAGATTCCGTCCATCTGGGGACGGAGGGACACGGTCACCCTGGGGGGGTCCAGGGGTCCCTTGGGGTACTCTGGGGCTCCTTTGGGGTGGTTCTGGGGGGGTCTCTTGGGATTGTCCCTTGGGATGGTCCCTTAGGGGGTCCCTTGGGATCATCCCTTGGGGTGGCCCCAGGGGGCCCTCATTGTGTCCCCTGTGTCCCCTTGAGGTGGTCCCTGGGGGTCCCTCGCTGTGTCCCCTCACTGTGTCCCCTCGGGGTGTCCCCTGGGGGTGTCCCCCAGGCCTCAGGGGGTGCCAGGGGGGTCTCACCGTGCGGCTGAACTCGGCTACAAAGCTCCGGTGGGCGGGGGCCGAGGGGTCCCGCAGGTCCTCAGAGAAGTCCCTGTTGGTCACTCGGGCCAACATCGTCACGAAGGGGCCCAGCTCTGCTGGGGGAGGGGGGTGTTAATGGGTCTGGGGGCTCGGGGGTCGTTAATTAGGGTTTAATGGGTCTGGGGGCTCAGGAGGGTCATTAGTTGGAGTTTAATGGGTCTGGGGGCTCAGGAGATCATTAATTAGGGTTTAATGGGTCTGGGGGCCCGATGGTCATTAATTAGGGGTGGGGGTGCCCAGGTGGGGGTGCCCTGTCCCCGTCCCCCCCCTTTACCTGCCGTGAGGTTGATGGTGGTCGCTCCGAACTCGCAGCGGGCGCCGTCCACGTTGGGGGGGCACAGACAGCTCGTCCCCATCCAGCGCCCCCCGTTCAGGCAGGGGTCTGCAGGGGGAGGGAGGGGCTCAGGGACCCCCACGACACCACCGTGACCCCCCTCTCGCCATCCCAGTGCTGCCCAGTCCTGCCCAGTTCAGCCACCGTCACCCCCCCACACACACACCAAATTTTGGGGAGAAGTCAGTTCCTGGTGGGTCCTGCTTGGTGGGAGGGGGTGGGGTACACTGAGGGTCGGGGGGGTTTCAACCCCTTTAACTGGAGGGGGGAAACGCCCCCAGGGAGGTCTCCCCACTGCAAGCAAACCCCACCCACCTCTAGTGGTGGGCATGGCGGTGGGGGGGCAACCCTGGTGGTTGAGGGGGCTTCAAACCCTTTAAAGGGAGGTTTTCCCTCCCAAAACACCCCCGGGGGGGGTCTCCCCACCCCCCAAGGCAAAAACCCACCCACCTCTCGTGGTGGGCGCGGTGCTGGTGGTCGTGGGGGTCCTCCTGGGGGTGCTCCTCCCGCCCCCCCTGGCCGTGGGGCTGGGAGGGGTTCTCCGCGGGGGTCCCGCCGTGGGGGGGGGCGTGGCGGGGGGATTCTCGCAGCGGGGCCCGTGGAAGCCGGGGGGGCAGAAGCACTCGGTGCCCACCGCGGTGCCCCCGTGGCGACAGGCGCCCGCGGGGTCGGGGGCGGCGCAGCGGGGACCCCCCCGGCCGGGGGGGCACAGGCAGCGGTCACCCACGGCGGTGCCGCCCCCCGAGCAGCGGTCCGAGGGGTCGGGGGTCTCGCACGACGGGCCGGTGAAGCCGGGGGGGCACAGGCAGCGGGTCAGGTTGGCCACGCCCCCGTTGAGGCACGAGACTGGAAATTTTGGGGGGGGGGGATAAGAAACAGACAAGGGAGAGGTGAGGGGATGGGCAGACCCCCGTGAAGGAGACAATCCCCCTGCCCCCCCCAGAATGTCCATCCTCTTCTTCCCCCCCCACCCCAGGAGACCCCCTGGGAAGGAGACTCCCCGGGAGACCCCGTGTCTCTCCTGATCCCCAAAAGGAGCCCCCCCATCCCCTCCCGACCCAAAGACCCCCCCTCAGGTCACCCACTGGCCGGGGGGCTGGAGCCGTGGGGGAGGTAGAGGCAGATGGTGGCCACGGTGGCGCTCGGGGTGGTCCCGGTGGGCTCCGTGGCCCTCGTGTCGTTCTCCGTGGCCCTGGTGTGGTTTCCTGGGTGTGGCACCCCCGTGGTGTCACCCCCCGTGGTGTCACCCCCCGTACGGCTCCTGGGGGTGGTCCTGGTGTCACACACAGGGGTGGTGGTCACGGTGGTCATGGTGGCCCTGGTGTCCCCTCCTGGGGTGGTGGCCCTGGTGTTGTCCCTTGCCGGGGTGGTGGCCCTGGTGTTGTTGTCCCCTGTGGCCCTGGTGTCCCTTGCCGGGGTGGTGGCCCTGGTGCTGTTGTCCCTTGTGCCCCCAGTGTCCCCTCTTGGGGTGGTGGCCCTGGTGTGGTTGTCCCTTCCCGGGGTGGTGGCCCTGGTGTTGTTGTCCCCTGTGGCCCTGGTGTCCCTTGCCGGGGTGGTGGCCCTGGTGCTGTTGTCCCTTGTGCCCCCAGTGTCCCCTCCTGGAGTGGTGGCCCCAGTGCTGGTGTCCCTTCCCGGGGTGGTGGCCCTGGTGCTGTTGTCCCTTGTGCCCCCAGTGTCCCCTCCTGGGGTGGTGGCCATGGTGTGGTTGTCCCTTCCCGGGGTGGTGGCCCTGGTGTTGTTGTCCCTTGTGTCCCCAGTGTCCCTTGCCGGGGTGGTGGCCCCTCCGTGGCTCTCTGGGCGTGGTGGCACTGCCGTCACCCCGCGGCTCCTCGCGGTGTCACCTCTGGTGGGGGGGGTGAAGGTGTCCCCTTCCACGGCCATGGTGTCCCCTTCCACGGCCGTGGTTTCCTCTTCCATGGCCGTGGTGTCACCGCCCAGGGGCGTCGTGTCCCCTTCCACGGGGGTGGTGTCCTCATCCTCGCTGGTGGCCGCGGGCGTGGCCGTGGTGACCCGGGGGCTGCTCCTCAGGGCCCTGCTGTCCCTCTCCACGGGGGTGGCCCTGGTGTTTCCCTTTGTGGTGGTGTCGATGAAGTCGTTGTACGTGTTGGGGACCACGGAGGCGGTCGTCGTGCCCGTGGTGGTGACGATGTAGTCGTTGTCCGTGCTGGGGACCCGGGTGGTGGCCCTGGCGTGACCCTCCACGGTGGTGGCCCCGGTGCTGTTCCCCAAGGCCCTCCGCGGGGTGGTGGCCCTGGCGTGACCCTCCGCAGTGGGGACAACGACGTTGTTCTCCACGTTGGTGGCCGCGACGGCACTTCCCAGGACCGTGGTGGTGTCGATGACGTCGTTGTCCGTGCCGGGGACCTGAGTGGTGGTCCGTCCCACCGCCCCGGGCCCCCTTCCCACGGCGCCGCCCGTGACGTTCCCGTCCTGGTACGGCACCGGCGTGGCCGTGGTGCTCTCGGTGGCCGTGGTGGTGGCCGTGGTGATCCCCGTGGTGGTCCCTGAGGGTGTGGTCGTCCCTCTGCCGCGTCCCCCACTGTCGTTGTCACCGCCGCCGTCACCGCCGCCCTCCAGCACCGCCAGCCCCAGCCGGGGGGTCCCGCACTCGCAGCGCGGCCCCCACGTGCCCGGGGGGCAGCGGCAGGACCCCCCCCACAGGGTGCCCCCCCGCAGGCAGGACGCGGGGGGGTCGCGCTCCCCGCAGGTGTCCCCGCGGAAGCCCGGGGGGCACACGCAGGCCGTGCCGAAGGGGGTGGCCCCGTGGCGGCAGGCGCTGGCGGGGTGGGGGTCCTGGCAGCGCGGCCCCCCCAGGCCCGGGGGGCACAGGCAGCGCGTGCCCACCGGGGTGGCCCCCCCGGCGCAGGCCGTGCCGGGGTCGGGGGTCTCGCAGCGGGGGCCGGAGCGGCCGGGGGGGCACGCGCAGCCCTCGCCCACCGCGGTGCCCCCACCGGAGCAGGGGGCTGCCAGGGGAGAGAGGAATGGGGGGCGTGAGAGTGGGACCCCCCAAATTGGGGAGAGTCCCCAAAATGGGGGGGGGAAGTGGGATGGAGAGGGGGGGAAAATGGGGGGGAGAAAGAGGGAGGGGAAGGACCCCAAAATGGGGGAGGATGGGGAGTGGTGAATGGATCTTTTCCAGGAACCCCAAAAAGAGCCCCAAAAAATCCCCAAAAGGTGGGATTTTGGAAGAGTCAGAAACCCCGAAAAGCTCCCCCAAAAAAACCCCTGAATTATCCCAAAAGAGGGAATTTTGCAAGGGAATTGGGATGATCCCAGGACTGGGGACTGGGGGATGTTCTGAGTGTCATTGGGTGCCAGAAGCCCCAAAAAGAGCCAAAAAGTTTCCCCCCTCCCAAAAAGAACCCAAAGGAGGGAATTTTGAAAGGGTCGGAAACCCCAAGAAGCTCCCTGAAAAAAACCCAAAAATTCCCCAAAAAGGGAATTTTGGGAAGGAATCGGGATAATCCCGCACGGCCCACCCGAAGTGCCCCCTTCTCTCACCTGCCAGAGCCTCGGAGGGGACGAGGAGGATGAAGATGAAGAAGAGGCGTCCACCCAACTCCATCCTTGGGGGAGATCCCGGCGGCTCCGGAGCCAACGGAGCGACTGATCCGCCCGGGATTCGCGTCCTGGGTTTTTTTCCTGACCCCCCTCCCACAATTCCCAACCCTCCCCCAAAATAAGGGGTTGCTGAGTCACTGCTTTGGGTGGGGGTTTTTTGTTTTAATTTTGATTTATTTGTTCTTTTTTATCGGATCCCGAAAATCGGGAAAAGGGCAAAAGTTGGGAAGCTTCGCCAGCCACGCCCCCCCCACCCCTTGGGAATTCCACCTGCGCCGGGAAGGGCGGGAATGGGGCGGGTTTGGGGTTGGAGATAAGATTAAGGGGGGGGTGGGAACCCCAAATCCCCCCCACCCCCACTCGGGGTGCTGTCCCGGCTCCCAAAAAAACCTCTGGGAACGGTCGGAGCAGGGAATGGGGGAACTGGGAGGGACTGGGGGGGACTGGGAGGGACTGGAAGACCCTGGAAGGGACTGGGGGGCACTGGAAGGGGCTGGGAAGGAATGGGGGGCACTGGGAGACACTGGGAGAACTGGGGAGGATTGAGGGGGACTTGGAGGCACTGGGAGCACTGGGAACACTGGGAACACTGGTGAGCACTGGGAGGTACTGGGAAGCACTGGGAGGGCACTGGGAGCACTGGGAGCACTGGGAGCACTGGGAGCGGTTGTCCCAGTTCCCAAAAATTCCGGGAGGGGCCGGAGAGGGAAGGGGGGGGTTGGGTCACGCTGAGTCACCCTCGGGTGACGGGGACAAGGTGGGGGGGACCCCTCCCCTCCACACCCAGGGCTGGACTGGGTGGTACTGGGAGGCACTGGTGGGGACTGGGAGGGACTGGGGGGGAGTGGGAGACACTGGGAGCTACTGGGGGGGACTGGGAGGCACTGGGAGCACTGGGGAGCACTGGGAGGGACTGGGAGACACTGGGGAGCACCTCCCAGTGCTCCCCAGTACACCCAATATCTCCCAGTACCTCCCAGTGCTCCTCAGTGCCTCCCAGTCACATGATCACCTCCCACCCCCCAAAATAAGCCCGGAGACCCCTCCTCCCTCCAAAAAATTGGTGGAATTTGGACAAATTAAACCAATAAATTGATTTTTTATATTAGTAATAAATAAAGGGGGATGGACAGGAAAAGGGGGCGGGACCTCCTGTGCCCCCCCCCCAAACCCTTTTTTTTGGGGGGGGTTTCACCCCCTCAGGGATCCCCCAGGGGGATTAAAGGGGGGTGGTGCCATCCAAATAAATAAATAATAAATATCGAGGGATTCAACCCCCCCAAAAGCCCTCAAATTCCCCCTAAACCCGCTCAAATTCTCCCATCCCAAGCCCCCTCAAATCTTTCCAAATTCCTCCCAAACCCCCTAAATTCACCCCCAAATCCCTTCTAAAACCCCTCAAACTGACCCCAAATCCCTTCAAAGTTCCCCCAAATGCCCCCCAAGCCCCCCCAAATCCCCTCAATTTCCCCAAAATCCCCCCTATTCCCCTCAAACTCCCCCAAAAATCTCCTCAAAAAGAGACCCCAAAATGGGGGGTGGGAACCCAAAGTGGGGGGGTGGGTCCTAAAATGGGAGTGGGATCCTAAAGTGGGTGGTGGGACCCCAGGGTGGGCTCAGGGACCCCCGGGTGGGTGTTGGGACCCCCGTGACGTCACCGCCGGGTGGGGGACGGGAAAGCGGGGGGAGGGTACCTGGGACACACCTGGGACACACCCGGTGACGTCACTGGCGGGAACTGCCACGCGGGGCGGGGGAACACGAGTGTGTCACGTGACCCGAGACCCCCCAGGTGTGTCACGTGACCCGCGTCCCCTCCAAAAAAAACACCCAAATCCCCCAAAAATTTCCCCCCCAAGTCCCCCCCAAGGAAAACCCCAAAATCCCCCCAAATCCCCCCCCAAACCTCCCAAAAATCCCCCAGAACCCCCAAAAACCCACCCAAATCCCTCCAAAATCCCCCAACCCTGCCCCAAATCTCTCCCAAAACACCCAAATCCCCCCAAAATCCCCTCCCAAACCCCCCAAACTCAAGCACATCCTCCGCCCCCTCCCCCCATCATCATGACATGAGGGAGGGAGGCCGCCTGCCGCAGGGGAGGGGCAGTTCCTTTGCCCCTCCCCTCCCTCCCCCCTCAATTTAACCCTCCCCCTACCCCCCATTCCCGGTGTTTTCCAGACGCCGCAGCCGAAGCGACGCGGGAGAAGCGGCGGGAGAGGGGTCGGTGTTGCCCCTCCCCACCCCCCTCGAGACCCCCCGACCTCCTCCCCCGACCCTCCCCACCCCAATGACCTCCATCCGTCCGGACCCGCTGCTTCGGGATCCCCCTCCCCAAAATCCATCACCCCCACCCACCCGCGCCCCTCCCCACCTCCATCATCCCCCCTCCCCAAATCCATCCCCCTCTTGAGCCCCTCCCCCCATCACCTCCCTGACCCCTCCTGGCCCTCCCCCATCCCCCAATTCCCCCTGACACCTTTATCGATCCCCCCATCACCCCCCTGCACCCCTCCCCACTCCCCAGTGCCCCTTTGCCCCCCAAAATTCTCTTCCTCTCTCCCCCTCAGGTTCCCTCTCCCCTCGGGTACCACTGGGGAGAGAGGAGAGAGGAGGGCCTCCTGGGGCGTGGCCCAGGGGATGGGGAGGGGTCCCTATGGATCTATAGGGAAATAGGGGAGGGGTCCCTATGGATCTATAGGGGATGGGGAGGGAGGGATCACTGTGGGGCTGGGGAGAGGGGCCCCTATGGATCTATAGAGGATTGGGGGGCTCTCTCTAGGGGATTGAGGGGGGTCTCTAAAGGGTCAGGAAGGTCTCTATAGGGCCGGGGGATTTCCTATAGGGTCAGGTTCCCTCCCCATCCCCCTCCTCTGACCGCTTCCGGATGGGAATTTTTGGAGCTATTTTGGGAACCGGCACCTGCCCCGCGGGGTGGGGAGGGGAGGAGAGAGGGTCCCTATGGGGAGACCGATAGGGGCACCCAGACCCCACCCAGGGGGGACTGGGAGACGCTGGGGAGGCACTGGGGGAGACTGGGGGGGCACTGGGATGCGCTGGGGGTCACTGGGAGGCACTGGGGTGTTGAGGGATACTGGGATGACACCTCCCCAAATCCCACCCTACCCTGTTGCCTCCCATCTCCTGCCCAAAACAAAGGAGTCCCCCTCAAACCCCAAACCCTCCCACTCCCCAACCCCCTCCACTCCCCAAAATCCCATCCCATCCCTTGGAGGGTGGGTGTGACCTCAAATCCCACCCCCAACTAAGGGATCCCTCCACCCCTCAAATCCCACCCTGTGGGAGTGTCCCACCCTCCTTCCCTCCAAAAAAGGGGGTCCCCACTCCTACCCCCACACCCCACCTCACGCCTCCAAATCTCTCCTCTCTCTCCGCAGCCTCCGGCACCATGGGGGTCTCCCAACCCCAGCAACACCCCCTTCTCCCTCCCCCTTCCCCCTCCTCCTCCTCCTCCTCCTCCTCTTCTCCCCCTCATTGCCCCCCGCCCGTGCTGACAACGACGACAACAACCCCTGCTGGTGCCCACCCTGTCCGGCCTCGTCCGCGGCTTCCACGTCCCCGCCGGCCCCTCCTCGGTGGTCGCCGCCTTTTGGGGATCCCTTACGCCGAGCCCCCTGGGGTCCCTCCGCTTCGCCCCCCGCCCCGCCCGGCCCTGGCCGGGGTCGTGGACGCCTCGTCCCACCCGCACGCCTGCTTCCAGCCGGTGGACACCATGTTCCCCGGCTTCGGCGGCTCCGAGATGTGGAACCCCAACCGGGAGATGAGCGAGGACTGCCTGTACCTCAACATCTGGGCCCCCTCACCGCGGCCGCCGGCGCCGGCGCCGGTGCTGGTTTGGATCTATGGCGGCGGCTTCTACAGCGGCGCCGCCTCGCTGGACGTGTACGACGGGCGCTTCCTGGCGGCCGCCGAGGGCGTGCTGGTGGTCTCCATGAACTACCGCGTGGGCGCCCTGGGCTTCCTGGCACTGCCGGGCCACCCCGAGGCCCCCGGCAACGTGGGGCTGCTGGACCAGCGGCTGGCGCTGCGCTGGGTGCAGGCCAACATCGCCGCCTTCGGGGGCGACCCCGGCGCCGTCACCCTGTTCGGCGAGAGCGCCGGCGCGGCCTCGGTGGGCCTGCACCTGCTGTCGGGGGGCAGCCGGGCCCTGTTCCGCCGCGCCGTCCTGCAGAGCGGCTCCCCCAACGGGCCCTGGGCCACGGTGGGCGCGGCCGAGGGCCGGCGGCGGGCGGCGCGGCTGGGCCGGCTGGTGGGCTGCGGCGGGGTGGGCGCGGGCGGCGCGGTGACCAACGAGACGGAGCTGCTGGGCTGCCTGCGCGCCGCGCCGCCGCCGCAGCTGGTGGAGCACGAGGCGGCCGTGCTGCCGCAGCAGGGCGTGTTCCGCTTCGCCTTCGTGCCCGTGGTGGACGGCGAGTTCCTGGCCGACACCCCCGAGGCACTGCTGGGCGGCCCCGGGCGCCCCGAGGCCGAGGTGCTGCTGGGCGCCGTGCAGGACGAGGGCACCTACTTCCTGGTGTACGGCGTGCCGGGCTTCGGCAAGGACAACGAGAGCCTCATCAGCCGCGAGGAGTTCCTGGGCGGGGTGCGCCTGGGGGTGCCCCAGGCCAACGAGCTGGCGGCCGAGGCCGTGGTGCTGCAGTACACGGACTGGCTGGACCAGGACAACCCCGTGAAGAACCGCGAGGCGCTGGACGACATCGTGGGTGACCACAACGTGGTGTGCCCCCTCATGCACTTCGCCCAGCGCTGGGCCGAGCGCGGCGGCACCGTCTTCGCCTACCTGTTCGACCACCGCGCCTCCAACCTGCTGTGGCCCCCCTGGATGGGGGTCCCGCACGGCTACGAGATCGAGTTCGTCTTCGGGCAGCCCCTCAACCCCGGCCTCAACTACACGGCCGAGGAGGAGGCGCTGAGCCGGCGCATCATGAGATACTGGGGCAACTTCGCCAGGACCGGGTACCGGCACGGCCGCGGCCCGAGAGGGGAGGGGAGGGTGGGGAGGGATGCGGAGATGCCTCCACGGATGGCTGAAGGGTTGGGCGGAGGGAGGGAGGGATGGTTGGATGGAGGGATAGATGGAGGGATGGATGGAGACATGCAGAGATGGATGGAGAAATGAGGGTAAGGCCATGTGGATGGAGAGATGGATGGAGGGAGGGATGAGAAAAAGCCTCCGTAGATGGTTGAAGGATTGGATGGAGTGATAAGAGAGGAAGGGATGGATGAGGTGGGTTGGGTTGGGAGGGGTTGAGCTGGATGAGGTGGGTTGGGATGTGATGAGTTGGGTTGGGATGGGTTGAGTTGAGATGGATGGGTTGGGATGGGTTGAGTTGGGTTGGGGTGAATGGGTTGGGATGGATTGAGTTGGGTTGGGATGGGTTGGGATGAACTGAGTTGGGTTGGGTTGGGTTGAGTTGGGTTGGGATGGGTTGAGTTGGGGTGGCTTGGGATATGATGAGTTGGGCTCAGTTGGGATGGGTTGAGATGGGATGAGTTCAGTTGGGATAAGTTGGGTTGGATGAGTTGTATTGCATTGGGTCGGGATGGGTTGAGTTGGACGAGTTGGGTTGGGATGGATTGAGTTGGGATGGGTTGAGTTTGGTTGTGGTGAGTTGGGTTGGGGTGAGTTGGGTTGGGATGGGTTGAGTTGAGTTGGTTTGGGTTGGGATGGATTGAGTTGGGTTGGGATGGGTTGAGTTGGGATGGGTTGAGTTGGGTTGTGGTGAGTTGGGTTGGGGTGAGTTGGGTTGGGATCGGTTGAGTTGCATTGGATGAGTTGGGATGGTTTGAGCTGAGTTGTTTTGGGTTGGGATGGATTGAGTTGGGTTGGGATGGGTTGAGTTGGGATGGGTTGAGTTGGATGAGTTGGGTTGTGTTGGGATAAGCTGAGTTGGGATGGGTTGAGTTGGGATGGGCTGAGTTGGGATGGATTGAGTTGGGTTGGGATGGGTTGAGTTGGGATTGGTGGAGTTTGGTTGAGTTCAGTTGCGATGAGTTGAATTGGGATGGGTTAAATTGGTTGGGATGGGTTGAGTCAGGTCGGGTCGGGTTGAGTTGGCTGAGCAGTGCCCTCCGGGCCACACCAACCTCCGTGTGCGGTGCCAGGGACCCGAACGAGCCGTCGGAGCGGGAGCGGCGCTGGCCGTCCTACACGGCGGCGGGGCAGAGCTACGCCCGCCTCAACGCGCGGCCCCTCGCCGTGGCCCAGGGGCTGCGGGCACAGGCCTGCGCCTTCTGGACACGCTTCCTGCCCAAGCTGCTCAATGTCACCGGTGAGGGGACACCGGGGACACCGCGGGGCTGAGGGGATGCTGGGGGGTGAGGGGACACCTGGGAGGGATGAGGGGACACCGGGGACACCTGGGGGGTGAGGGAACACCGGGGAGGGATGAGGGGACACCAGGGAGGGATGAGGGGATGCCGCGCACACTGGCGGCATGTGGGGACACCAGGGGCAATGTGGGGGGACATGGGGACACCGGGGACACCAGGAGGGAGGAGGGGACACTGGGGACATGGGGGGTGGATTTCAGGGGTGATTTGAGGGGTCTGGGGGGGAGGTCCCAGGGCTGATGGAGTCGGCGGAGCCGCAGGAGCACCTGCAGTCTTGGGTGGAATTGGATTTGGGTGGGTTTTGCAAGATTTTAGAGGGTTCTGGTTTTTTTAGGGGAGTTTCCAGGGGTTTTTGGGGTCCCCGATTCAAATTTTGGGGTCCCCCCACTGATTTGGGGTTCGGGGGGAGGGGTCCCAGGGCCGATGGAGGAGGCGGAGCGTCAGTGGCGCCTGGAATTCCACCGCTGGAGCTCCTACATGATGCGCTGGAAGAGCCAGTTCGAGCTCTACAGTCGACAGGAACGGTGCCAGCCCCTCTAGGGACCCCCCAAAATCCACCCAGGGCACCCCAAAAACCTGCAGCTGAACCCCAAAACCTTCACCTGCCCCCCAAAATTCCCCTAATCCCCTCCAGGACCCCAACTTCCCCCCAGAGCTTTACAGTCCCCTGGAGAAGTGCCAGGCCCTCTTGGGACTCCCAAAAACCCACCCAGGACACCCCAAAACCTTCAGCTGGTACCCAAAAACCTTCAGCTGGACCCCAAAAACCTTCAGCTGGACTCCAAAACCACCCAGGGCCCCTCAAAACCTGTCCAGGGACCCCAAAACCCACTTAAGACACCCCAAAACCTTCAACCCCCCCAAACCCATGCAGGATCCCCCAAAAACCAACCCAGGGCACCCCCAAACCTTCAGCTAGACCCCAAAAACCATCCAGGACACCCCAAAACACACCCAAGACCCCCAAAACTAACCCAGGGAACCCCAAAACCAACCGAGGACCTCCCAATACCCAATTCCTCCCCCCACAGCATCCCAACCCTCCCCGAGACCCCAAAAACACTGTGGATCCCCGAGACCCCCCCAAAATCCTCATCTTTCCCCTCCCCCAACCCTCAGGTGTCACCCCAATAAAGGCTCAAACCCAAACCTGCCTCTGGGGGGACCCCAAAAAAATTATTGGGGGGCAGGGGGGGAGCTTTGGGACCCCCAAATATGGAGGAGTGGTGGTGTTTTGGGGCACTAAATTTGAGAGGAACACCCATGGGGGACACCCCCAATAAAGGGGGGACTTTGAGACCCTCAAATGTGATGGGGGAGGGGACACAGGGACGCCAAATCTTTGGGCAGGCATGGGGGACGCCCAAATTTGGGGATGGGGGGGTCCTAAAATATGAAAGGAGGCCCCAGAAAAAGGAGGGGCACCCCCAAATTTGGGGGAGAGAAGGAGGAGCAAAGGACACCGAGACAACAGTGGGGGGACGAAACCCCAGATTTTTATTGAGGGGGAAAACAGGGAGGGGAGAACCCAAAATTGGGGGGGTGGCAGCTCTTGGAGGGTCTTTAAGAGTTTTTGGGGGTGGTCCAGAGGATTTTTGGGGGAGGAGGCCCAAAGGGTTTTGGGGACCCTCCCCCTCTGGATTTGAGGGTCTGGGGGTTCCAGGGGATTTTTGGGGGGTTCCCCATGTTTTCAGGGTCGTGGAGGATTTGGGGCTCCTGGGGGGTGTTGGGGGTCCAGGAGGGGTCTGGGGGGTATTTGGGGGCTCCCGGGGGGCTTTAGGGACCCCCAGAAGCTTTTGGGGACCCCCCCCCAATGTTTGAAGGGTCCAGGGGGGCTTTGGGGGAGGCTCCAACGATTTTGGGGGTCCCAGGGCGGGTCCTGGGGATTTTGAGGGGATCCCAGGAGTTTTTTGGGCTCCCTCAAGGTTTTGGGGATCCCGGGGGAGAAACGGGGTCCTAGGGGAGGGTTTGGGGAATCTGGGAGATTTTGAGGGATCTTCAGAGGTGTTTTTGGGGTGTCTCCTCCCCATATTTTGGGGTTCTGAAGGGTTTTGGGGGGTCTCAGGAGTTTTTTGGGCACTCTCCCACATTTTGGGGGTCCTGATAGGGGTTCCAGGGGGGGTCACTCCAGGGGGAGCTTTGACCTTCAAGCTGCTGGAAAAGAGGGAAAGGGGTGATGGGGGAGGGGTGGGAGTCTCAGGCCCCCCTCAAAATCCCAGGGGGGCCCCCCCAAAGATTTTTGGAGCCCCCCCCCCCCAAAACGTACCCTGGTCAAAGTTGAGCTTTTTGGCGGGGGGGTCCCCAAATCCTTCGACGTCCACGAGGTCCCCGGGGGGGTCGGGGTCACCTGGAGGGGGCTCTGGGGGAGGGAAAAAGGGGACCCAAAATTAATGGTGGGGGAAAAGGGGCTGGGGGACCCCAGAATTAGTGGGGGTCTCCAAAAATTAAAAGGGGGGGGTCAAAGAGACCCCAAAATTAAAAGTGATGAGTTGAGGGGAGGGTCCCCAAAATTAAAATGGGGGGTCAGGGAAGGGCATGGGAATTATGGGGGGGAGGGCCCCTGAATTAAAGGGGAAAGTCAGAGAAACACTGAAATTAAAGAGGAGGTCCCCAAAATTAATGAAGGGGGGGCTCATAATTAAAGGGGAGGGCCAGAGGGACCTGAAAATTAAAGGGACTGGGGTCAGAGGATCTCAAGGACAAAGGGAGGGGGGTCAGGGATCCCCAGGAGACCCCAAAAATAAAGGGGGGGGCTCCCCCAAACCAATTACCTGCCACCTTCTGTTTCTTGCCAGGGGGCCCGGGGGGGTCGTGGGAGCCCCCCCTGAGCTCTGGGAGGGGGGTCCCGTGGCCCCCCCCCCTTTCCTGGGCCCCTTTTTGGGGGAGTCATGGCCGGGGGGGGGCAGGGGGACCCCGCTGTCCTCGTAGGCCTTGCGCTTGGCCGCCGCCTTCAGCTGCGCCCTGGAGGGGGGGGGAAGGGTCTTTGGGGTGAATTCGGGGGTTGGGATGGGAGGGGGTGCGGGGGACCTCAAACCCCCCAGACCCCCTCCCTTACACGGTGCGGTCCTTGATGAGGGCGCTGAGGCGGTTCAGGTCCTCCCCAAAACGGGCCACGGCCCCCCGGAGCAGGGACAGCTCCGGCTCCGTCCAGCGGGACCTGCGGTGCATTTGGGGGATTCTCGGGATTGGGGGAATTGAGGGGGTTTGGGGGTTTTGGGGCACTAAAGGGTCATGGACCACCCCGGAGCAGGGACAGCCCGGCCCGTCCAGCGGGACCTGCGGTGCATTTGGGGATTCTCGGGATTGGGGAAATTGAGGGGTTTGGGGGTTTGGGGCACTAAAGGGTCACGGCCCACCCCGGAGCAGGGACAGCTCCGTCTCTGTCCAGCGGGACCTGCGTGGGGGAGTCCTGGCATTTGGGGGGGAATTCCCAAGATCTGGGGAGTCCTGGGATCGAGGGTGGATTCCTGGCACTTGGGGGCATGAAGGGGTTTGGGGGCTCAGAGGAACTTTGGGGGATTTGGGAGGAGCTAAAGAGACCCCCCCAAGTCCCCCTCCCCCCCCAAATCCCACTCAAATTTTCTCAAATCCCCCCAGATCTTCCCAAATGTCCCCCAATTCCAATCATATCCCCCCCAGATCCCTCCAAGCCCCCCCAGACCTCACAAAATCCCCCCACAGAGACCCCAAATGCCCCCAAATCCACCTCAAATCTTCCCAAGTCCCTCCCAAAGATCCCCCTGGCCCCCCAGCCCCTCACCCCGCGGGGGAGGTGTCGGTGCCAGGGTGCAGCTGCATCGTCAGCTCCCCCAGCCGAGTGAAGGCAGCGCCGGCGGCCGAGAAAATCTCCCCCACCTGCGACAACAGGGACACTGGGAGGGACTGGGAGGCACTGGGGGGGACTCTAGGGGGACTGGAAGGGACTGTGGGGGGACTGGGGACGATGGGAGGGAACTGGGAGGGACTGGGGATGATGGGAGGGACACTGGGAATGATGGGGTGCAATGGGAGCACTGGAAGAGACTGGGAGTGATGGGAGGAGGGCTGGGAGGGACTGGAAATGACTGGGGCAGGTACTGGGAACACTGGAAGGGCACTGGGACCAGAACTGGGACCAGTACCAGCACCAAGACCGGAACTGGGACCAGTGACGACCCCCCCCGGCCCCAAACTGGTCCCAGTAACCCCTGAACTTATCCCGGAACCCCCGGGCGGGGCCGTGTCGCCCCCGGCCCCCCCCCCGGGACGGACCCCCCGCGCCCGGACCGGAAGTGCTCCCAAACAGGAAGTGCTTACCCCGTTCCCATCCTGACCCCCTCCGATTCCCCCCAAAAAAACCCCAAAAGCTCAAAATCCCCCCCAAACCCCTTACTTTGGTGCTCGCTGACGTCATGGTCGCCCGTCCCGGCCCCTCCGGCCGCCGCCGCCGCCGCTCGGGCTCCTCGATGGTGGCGGCGGGCGGAGGGGTCCGCTCTACCCCGCGCGTCTCGTTGGTAGCACCTCCCACCTCCAGCTAGGCCCCGCCCACCCCACATCCCATTGGCTGGTTCTGCTAAAGCCCCGCCCACTCCCGCCTCCAGGGGCCACTCCGCGCCGCCGTCTCGCTGCTCTTGGTCCTCCAGGACCCCCAAACCTCCCCAAATCAGTAAATCTCCCCAAATCCCCCTCAAATTCCCTCCCCCTAATCTCCCTGAACTGCCTCCAAATCTTCCAAAACCCCCCCGAATTTCCCCCAAGTCCCCCTGAAATCCCCCTCAAACCCACCCTTTTCCCCCCCTAAAATCCCTCCCCAAACCCTCCTTTTTTGCCCCCAAAGCCCCACTTTTTGTCCCCAAAACCCCTCAATCTCCCCCAAAATCCCCCTTTGCCCCCAAAAAACCCACACGGCCCCCCACTTCCCCCCTAAAAAAAACTCCAACGCTGGGTGGGGGGGGGGCACAAAGACCCCGCAGTTTTTATTGGGAGAACTGGTTCCAACTGGGTGGCACTGGCGCAAAGTCGCTCCTTTGGGGGGGTGTGGGGGGAAGGTTTTGGGGTATTTTGGGAGGGTTTTCGGGGGGACCCTGCCCCCAGGCGGGGGTCTCTCAGCGCACCATGTACTCCTTGCGCTTGTTGAGGCGCCCCTGGCAGAGGGAGAAGCCCCCCAGGAGCGCGTAGAGCCCCGCGGCGATGAAGCAGTTGTAGCTGACCTGCTCGAACAGCCCGTACAGCCGCTCGGGGCCGCTGGGGGAGAGGAGGGGGGAGTCAGGGAGGGGGAAATCCCCAGAATCCCCCCGAACCCCCCTCAAATGCCCATGAATTCCACCCAAATCCCCCCGAATTCCACCCAAATCCCCCCGAATTCCACCCAAATCCCCCCGAATTCCACCCAAATCCCCCTGAATCTCCTCCGAATCCCCCTGGGTTCCACCCAATTTTCCCCCCAGAAACCCTCCAGGACCCCCCAGATCCCCCCAGGACCCCCTAAAATCCCCCTCCAGGCCTCACTCCTTGAAGTCCTCGCTGGTGAAGGGCATCAAGTTCCCCCAAAATCCCCCCAAATTCCCCCAGGACCCCTCAAAATCCCCCCCGGGCCTCATTCCTTGAAGTCCTCGTCGGTGAACGGGACGTCCTCGATAAGCACGGCCGAGTGCACGTTGAAAAAGATCCCCAGCAGCACCTGAGGGGCAAACTGGCCATACTGGGGGCACTGGGAGAGCACTGGGAGTGATGGGAGACAGACTGGGAGCACTGGGAGTGATGGGAGGGGCACGAGGGGCACTGGGAGCACTGAGTGGATCAGGATATTGGGGATACTGGGAGCAGTGGGGGTGGCGGCACTGGGGGTGACTCAGGGGCAGCTGAGGGGAAGTGGGGGGGTGGGGGAGGGGCCGGGAGCCACCCAGGGACCTCTCCCCAAATCCCCAGACACCCCCAAAACCCCCCGGATCCTCCCAAGACCCTTCCAAATCCCCTTTCAGCCCCACAGGGACACCCCAGGACCCTCCCAAGCCCCTCCAAGACCCTCAAACCCCCGCAGACCCTCCCAAGATCCCCCCAGGACTCCCCCAAGCCTCACAGGGATGCCTCCAGGACCCCCCAAGACCCCCCAGGACGTCGCAAAACCACCCGGACCCCCAACCCCCTTTCAGCCCCACAGGGACCCTCCTAGGACCCTCTCAAGCCCTCCCAGGACCCCCAAACCCTCCCCGGACCCTCCCAAGACCCCGCAACCCCTTCAGGACCCCCCAAAGACCCCCAAATTCCCTCAGCCCCCCCCAGACCGTCTCACCAGCATCACGACGCCCCAGGCGCTGAGCACCAGCCCACAGGCCGCCATCTTGGGCCCGCAGCAGAGCAGCGACACCATCGCGGGCTCCGCGGGGGTTGGGGGCTCTCGAGGTGGGTTTTGAGGGGGTCCCGGGCGGGTTTTGGGGTGTTTTTAGAGGGGGTTTCGGGTTTTTGGGGGCAGCGCGCGGAGCTCCCGGACCGGCTGAGCGCGCGAGGCCACGCCCCTCAGCGGGGCCACGCCCCCTTTCCTTAAACGTACCTTGGCTATTTGAATAACCGCGCCCCCCGCGTGTAAACCACGCCCCCCTCCCGGCCGGGCCACGCCCTCTCGGGCGGTTCCATTCAGGCCAACGGCGGGGGGGGGGGCGAAAGGGAGGCTCTGATTGGCTCTGACGCCGGGTTTGGCCACGCCCGCGCCACCCACGTGTGTCACCCGTGTCCCCTGAGTATCCCCCGGGTGTCCCTTATGTACCTGTAACCACCTGTCCCTGCCGGTCCCTGCCTGTACCTGTGCCAGCCAGGTGTCCCCTCCCCACACCTCAGTGACGTCACGCGTGTCCCCTGAGTGTCCCCTGGGTGTCCTTTGGCCGCCTGTCCCTTCCTGTCCTCACCTGTCCTTTGCACTTCCTTCCCGTACCTGTCCCAGCCCGGTGTCCCCCCACCCCTCAGTGACGTCACGCGTGTCCCCTGAGTGTCCCCTGAGTGTCCCCTGAGTGCCCCCTGAGTGTCCCCTGGGTGTCCCTTGGCCACTTGTCCCCACCTGTCCCCCTCCTGTCGCTGCCCATACCTGTGCCCCCACTGACGTCACGCTTGACGTCACGTGCGTCCCCGTGTCACCCCCGGAGGGGGTCCCTCTGTCCCCACCCCCTCTGCCCCTTCACCACTTTTGGTGCCCCCTCCCCCAAATTTGGGCTCTGGCCCTTTAAATCCCCTGCCCCCTTCTCAGGTCACATTGTCGTGACATTTCGGGAGGGAGCTAAAAATAACCCCAGCACGCGCCCGTTCCTCTCCTCCCCCTGCCCCCAGCCGGGGACACTCAGGATCCCCCACCAGGGTGGTGGAGGGTAGTGACGTCCCACCCCAATTTAGGGAAAAACCGCTCAAATCAAAGAGGGTGGGGTGGGCGGAGCCACTTGACGGCGGGTGGGGAGGGGTGGGGTCAGCCGAGGCCACTGGGGGAGGGGAGGAGCTCAACCCACCCCCTCCCCACACCCCCATAAGGACTCAAACATCACCTTCTGTGTCCTCACCCCCCAAAAATAAGGGGGTAGAGGGTGACTCCCAATGGGCGTGGCCACGGAGGGTGGGTGTGTCACGGTGGGCGCGGCCTCGACCAGACCCCTCCCCGGCCCCCGGCCCCTCCGCAGAGACCCCTGAGACCCCCAGGAGCCGCCGCCGCCTCCGCAGCCGCCGCCACTCCTGCCCAGCCGCGGGGGCGCTAGAGAGCCGCCCCTCCCCCTCCCCAACCACCCCTCCCCATCCCCACGACCCCCACTAACCCCCTCCGACACCCACCTTGGACCCTCAACGCCCCCTTTAAATCCCCCCAACCTCCCCTTAATCCCCCTTAACCGCCCCACTGACCCCCTTAAATCCCTGACTCCCCTTGACCCTCCCAAAAGCCCAACGACCCCCGAACACCCCCAGACCCCCTTAACCCCGACCCACCTTTGACCCCCCAGACCCTCAACGACCCCCTTAACCCCCTGACCCCCTTGGCCCCCTCTTAAACCCCCTGCACCCCTTAACCTCCCACCCCTCTTTGACCATCCACCCCTCCTTTACCCCTGACCCCCGATCGACCCCCTTTAAACTCCCCCACTGACCCTCCCCAGACCCCCAACGACCCCCTTAACTCCCCCGACCCCCTTTTTACTCCCCACCCCATCAACGACCCTCACCAGTGACACCCCCCCAATCCCTGCCAACCCTCCCACTGACCCTCCTGGAGCCCCCCAGATCCCCAGCGTCCCCCCCACTGAGCCCCCTAACCATCGACCCCTCCGGAGACCCCTTCGACTCCAAATTGACCCCCAACTGACGCCCCCCGTCCCCGGCCCCCTTAAACCCCCCGCCTCCCCAAGACCCCCAGCTGACCCTCACAAAATCCCCTCGACCACCACGTGACGCTCCCGGGATCCCCAAAAACCTGCCACCCCCACCACTGAACCCCCACTGACCCCTCTGACCCGAAATTGACCCCCAGCCCCCTGGGATTCCTATATTAACCCTCCGACCCCCTATAATCCCCCTTGGACCCCTCCCAGTCCCATAACTGCCCCCCCACCCCCGGGAATCCCTCCCGGCGGCTGATCACCCCTAAATAGTTAATTACCCCTCTAATTAATTAACTACCACCCCCCCTCATGCCCAGGGGGTTCCAGCAGATCCAGGAGGAGGAGGAGGTACCGGGTGGTGGGGGGGAGGTGCGATTTTGGAGTGTCCTGAGTGAGGGGAGGGGGCGTTTGGGGGCTCGGAGGGTGAGGGGAGGGGTGGGGTATCCGGGACACCCCAAAAGAACCTCGAAACCCTCCCAAAACCCCCAAAAGGCATCCAAACTCCCCCTCTCCCCCCCGCCACTGCATGAGCGCCGCTTTCCCAAAAAAGGGAAATTTTGGGAATCGTGAAGGGGGTGTGAGGGGTTTATGTCGCGATAGTGGTGGTGATAGATCGCCCCTGCCCCCCCCAACGGGAATCCGGCGATCCCGGGGGGGTTCTGGGAGGGGGGAGGGGTGATTTTGAGGGGAGGAGGGGCTTTTCAGGAGGGGAGGGGCTGCTTTGGGGTGGGGAGGGGCCGCCGGGGACACACCTCCCGGGGGCGGGGCGGGGTGTGAGGGGGTGGGAGAGGACGAGCCCCTGTCACACCCCCACCCATTCCCCCACCACACCACCCCCCCTTCTCCAATGCTCCCCTTCTCCCACCCCTAAATAGGACTGACCCCTCCCTCCTCCCCTCCACTCCCCCAGGGTTTTGGGACCCCCACCCACCCATCCCCTCACCCCTTGGGATCTGCCCCATTCCTGACACCCCCATGATCCCCTCGGCCTTCCTGATCCCCCTGACCCCCATGCCCACCCAGGAGGATGAGGGGTTCCCCCTGACCTCCCTTTCCCCGGAGGAGGAGGGTGTACCCCTGACCCCCTGACTGTCCCCGACACCCAGACCCCCTGACCCATCCTGTGCCCCCTCTCTCCCCAGGAGGATGAGGGGCTCCCCACCTCCCCCGTGCCCCTGACCCCCGCCCTGGCTCTGACGGTTTTCGCTGCCTCCCTGAGCTCGCTCGGCTTCGGTTACAACATCGGCGTCATCAACGCCCCCCAGAAGGTACTGGGGGGGGGCCAAAATTTGCAGGGGGGACAAAAATTTGGAGGGGGGGAACCCAGAAACCCCTGGGGAGGCCCCAAATCTTGGGGATGTGGGGGGACAAAACCCAGAGGGGATCCTAGAAATGGGGGATGACCAAAAATTCGGGGTGGGGGGACCTAAATCTCACTGCCAAAAGTGAGTCCCGGAGGGGGTCCCTGGGTGGGATTTTCCCCCCCATAAAGGGTCTCTATGTTGGGGAGGTTTGGGGGGGGATTTGGGATCCCCCTGAAACGATTCCCTGAGGGGGTTTCCATTTGAATCCCCCTGCCCAAACTGTTCCCTGAGGGGGTCCTCGTCCGGTGCCCCCCCCAGGTGCTGGAGGCCGAGTACAACGCGACGTGGGCGCAGCGTTGGGGTCCCCCGACCCCGGCACCATCTCCCTGCTCTGGGCCCTGTCGGTCGCCATCTTCTCCGTGGGGGGGATGGGCACGGCCCTGGCCGGGGGGGCCCTCGCTGACCGCCTTGGCAGGTGGGGGAGGGGCCGGGGGAGAGTTTGGGGCAGCTGAGGGGCAGAGGTCAAGGGGGAGGGGCAAAGGGGGAGGTGGTTTGGAGTGCAGTGGGGGAAGAAAAGGGGGTGTTGAGGGAGTTTTGGGGGAGGAGCTTAATGGGGAGTGGTCGAGGAGGGATGGGGAGTGGAGGGGAGGGGCGGGGTTTAAATGGGAGGGGCTGGGGGCTTTAATGGGAGGAGGAGTCATGGAGGGACAAAGGGGTGTGGCTCCAAGAGGAGGGGCCACCAATGGGGCGAGGCTTCTGGGGGCGTGAGTTTTTTGGGGAGGGGCCAGAAATAGGCATGGTTTATTTTGGTGGGACTTCTTGGGGCGTGGTCACGGGAAGGCAGGTGTGGCCAATGGGTGGGTGTGATCTCAGAAGGGGGTGTGGTCACACAATAAGAGGAGTGTGGTCACCACTCCTTGGCCCCACCCCTTCCTTTCCCCCGCCCCAGGAAAGGAGCCCTATTGGCCACCAACAGCCTGGCCGTGGTGGGCGGGGCCCTGATGGGCGGGGCCAAGCTGGGCCCCACCTACATCCTCGTCATCATTGGTCGCCTCATCGTGGGGGCCTACTCAGGTACCACCCACCTGGGGGAGGGTCCTTTGGGGGGAGTGGTCTGGTGAAGAGGGTGTGGTTTTGGTCAAAGGGGCGTGGTCTGGTAAGAGGAGGTGTGGTCTGGACCATGGGGGCATGTGGTCTGATGGGCGTGTTCTGGGTGGAGAGGGTGTGGTCGCACACTGAGGGGCTTGGTCTGAATCAGAGGGGTGTGGTCTGCTGCAAAGGGGGCGTGGTCTGCACCAAGAGGGGTTGTGGGGTCATGGTCTGGAGCAAAATGGGCGTGGTCTGGTCCGAGGGGGCGTGGTCAGGCAGGGAAGGGAGGTATAGTCTGGGCCATGGAGGTCGTCTGAACAACATGGGTGTGTGGCTTGCACCGCATGGGCACGGCCCAGAGCAAAGTGGGCGCGCTCTGAGGTGGAGGGGGCACGGCCACGCGGTGAAAAAGGGCGTGTCCCGCCATGATCCCCCCTGCAGGGCTGGTGTCGGTGCTGGTGCCTCTGTACGTGGGGGAAGTGGCTCCGCTGCGGCTCCGGGGGGCGCTGGGGACCCTCCACCAGCTCGGCATCGTCATCGGCATCCTGGGGGCACAGGTGGGCAGGGCCTGCGCGGGTGGGATCCGCGAGGGCAGGGCCTGCGTGGGAGTGGTGTGATAGGGCGTGGCTCTATGGGGGAGGGGTCATGGGCGGGGGCCTGGGGACCCTCCCTCAGCTCGGGAGGAACACCCAGGGGTGCAGGGGGCGGGACCTGGAGGGGAGAGAGCTTGGGGGGCGGGACATGAGGGGAGGGGTCAGTGGGGTCCTAGGTGGGATCATCATCGGTAACCTGGGGGCGCAGGTGTGCGTGGCCAGAAGGGGAGGGGGCGTGGGCTAAAGTGGCAGGGTCATTAGGGGAGGAGTCCACGGGGGCGAGGCCTGAGGGGGAGGAGTTTGATGGGGGGGCTGTCCGGGAGGCCAAGAGGGGTCACAGGGGGGGGGGGGTCACAATGTGGCCCTAAATCCTGCCATAGGTGATGTCATTTTGCGACAAACTGGCCCCAAATCGCGACATTTCACTTTGTGGGGCCACAGCGCCCCCTTGCGGCTGCACATCGTGACATGTCATGACATACTGTGGCCTCGAGTGGGATTTAGGGGGTCCTGGGGCGGGATTTGAGGGTCTCGTGGGCCTGGCCTGTCACCATACAGCCCCTCATGTCACGATATAATCTCACGTCATGATATAACCCCATGTCATAATACAACCTCTCACATTGCGATAGAGGCTTTCATGTAATGATACAACTTCGCATGCACGATATAACACCTCATGTCCTGATACAGCCATGATCTAGCCCCAAACCCGCGATCTGTGACGTCACATAGCAATAACCCTGCCCCCCATATGGCGACACGTCGCCCTTTTTGGTCCCATATCGCCCCCCTATCGCGCGATATCACACGATATCGTGGTCTATCGCGACATGTGGTGCTCCCCCCCTGCCCCGCAGGTGCTGGGGCTGCGGGCGCTGCTGGGGACGCCGACGGCGTGGCCGGCGCTGCTGGGGGCGGGGCTGGTGCCGGCGGCGCTGCAGCTGCTGCTGCTGCCGCTGTGCCCCGAGAGCCCCCGGTTCCTCCTGGCGCGGGGGCAACACGGCCGCGCCCGCCGCGGTGAGTGACCCTCCCCCCATCCCCCACCCCCCCCGGGGCTGCCTCCCAGTCCTCCATCTCCTTCCTCCTCCTCTTCCTCCCCTCCCTCCCCCTCCATCCTCTTCATCCTCCTCCCCTCCCCCCTTTGCCTTCCTCCCCCTCACTGATCCCTCTTCTTCCTCCTCTCCATCCCCCTCCTCCTCCCCGTCCTCTCCTTCCTCCTTGCCTTTCTCCCCTTCCTCCCCTTCCTCCCTCGCCCTCCTCCTCCTCACCCTCGCCCCTCTTGCCCCCCGCCCAGGCCTGTCCCGATTGGCCGGCCCGGCGGCGGAGGCGGGGCTGGCGGCGCTGGAGGCGGAGCTCGGGCGAGGCTCCGCCCCCCGGGTGGGGCTGTGGGAGCTGGTTCGGAGCCGGCGGTTCCGGCAGCCGCTCGTGGTGACGGTGGGGATGCAGCTGGCCCAGCAGCTCTCGGGCATCAACGCGGTAACGTTTGAGGAATTCAGGGGGGAAAGGGGCGGGGTTTGGGGAAAAGGGGCGGGGCCTGAAGGGAAAGGGGAGGGTTAAAGGGAAGGGGCGGGGATTAAAGGGGGGTGGGGCCATGATATTCCTCCCCCCTCGGGATGCAGCGGGTGCAGCAATTTTGGGGAATTAATGGGGCAAGGAGGCGGGGTTTGGGGGAAATGGGTGCGGCTTAAACGGAACAGGATGGGGAGTAAAGAGGAGGAGCAAAAAGTGGACAGACCTAAAGGGGCAGGGCCCAGAGAGGAGGAGCATAAAAGAGAGTGACCTGAGTGTGAAATGCCTAAAGGGGAGGAGCTTAAAGGGGCGTGGGCTGAGGAGGAGGGGCCTGATTAGGCAGAGCCTCAATGGGTGGAGCCTAGAAGGGAGTGGCCCGAAGGGGAGGGGCCAAAACAGGTGTGGCCTCAAGGGTGTGGCCTGGGTTGGGCCAACAGGGAATGAGGGTGGGTAGAGGAATGGGCGGGGCTTAACAGGGTGTGGCTCAAGGGGGAGGGAGAGTGTCCCAAGGCCAACTATGCCCCCCCTCCCCCCCGCAGATCTTCTATTACTCGACATCGATCTTCGAGGCTGGGGGGCTGCGGGACCCCACCCTGGGCACCATCGGCACCGGTGTCGTCAATGTGGCTGCCACCGCCCTGTCGGTGAGGGACACGCCCAGGGGGAGGGGACAGGGATGGGGACACACCCAGGGGGAGGGGACATGGATAGGGACACACCCAGGAGGAGGGAACACAGCTAGGGACACGCCCAGGGGTGGGCTCTGGGGGCATGGTCTTGTTGGGCAGAGTCTAAAGGTGTGTGGGGTCAGGGGGGCGTGGTCTTATTGGCGGGTGCGGTCTCAACGTAGGCGTGGTCTTACTGGCAGGTGAGGTCTGGGTGGGTGTGGTGTCTCATTGGTGGGCGGGGTGTAAAGGTGGGTGTGCTCTCACTGGTGGGCTTGGTCTCATGGGGGCGGGGGTCTCACCATGGGTAGAGTTGGATGTGTGGGTGGGGCCCTGAGCGTGGGATCACTTGGGGTGGGGTCTCCACCAGGGATGGGGTCTCACCTTGGAGGGGAAGGGGTCCCGATCGACCATGTCCGTCAGTGGGTGTGGCCAGTGAGTGGGCGTGTCCCTGGCTGAAGCCCCACCCCCATCCCCACAGGTGGTGCTGGTGGAGCGGGCGGGGCGCCGGATCCTGCAACTGGTAGGGCTGCTGGGGATGATGGGCTGTGCTGGGACCCTCGGAGTGGCCCTCAAGGTGAGATTGGGGACCCCCAAAAACGCCCTGAACCCCCCCCCCCCAAATCCTCACAGATCTCTCAAACCCACCCAAATCCCCCCATTTCCCCCCCTCCCCACTGCCCTATCGCTGATCTTTTTGGGGTTCTGCCCCTGACCGGAATTTTGGGGGTGTGCTCCCCCCACCCCCCCTTTCCGAGCTGGGGCGTCCCTTTGTGGGGGGGGCCTCAACACCCCGAGCCCCCATTTCCCCCTTCCATCCCCCAAAACACCCCTCGTTACCCTCTCTATTCCCCCTGACGTGTGATTTTGGGGGTCTCCCCCTTGACCGAAATTTCGGGCTGTCCCCCCCGCAGCTGGGGGGCCCCGCATGGGGGGGCGTGGCCTTGGCAGCCGCCCTGGCCTTCGTGGCTTTCTTCGCGGTGGGTCCGGGCCCCCTGCCCTGGTTCGTAGGGGCCGAGCTGTTCCCCCCTGGCCCCCGGGGGGCCGCCCTGGGACTCGCCAGCCTCGTCAACTGGGGCAGCAACACAGCCGTGGCCATGGCCTTCCCCCCCCTGCAGGTCAGCGGGGACAGGGGTTTGGGGGGTTTGGGGTGGGTGGGATGGTTTGGGGGTTAGGGGCGGTTATGGCTTCCTATTTCCCGGAGGTGTCTGGGACAGGGGGGTACTGGGGGGGTTTTAGGGAGTTTGGGGGGAGTTCAGGGGGAGTTTGGAGGCTCCAGGGGGGTGAGTTTGGGGGCTTTTGGGGGCCTTTTGGGGGGCTCTGGGAGGGTTTTAGGGAACTTTGGTGGGGGGTAGTTCTCTGACACCACCCCTCCTGCCCCTCCCCCCAGCGCGCGCTGGGCCCTCTCGTGTTCCTCCTTTTTGGGGGGGTCCTGGGGGGCTTCGCGCTCTTCACCTTCCTGCTGCTGCCGGAGACCCGCGGCCGCCCCTTCCCCGGGGGCGGGGGCGGGACCCCCCTGCCCGGTCCCCCAGCTCTGCTCGACCCCCCCGAGAAGGACACGGAGCTGCAGTGCCTCGCCCCACCCGACGACCCCTGAGCCGCCACCCCCCAAAAAACCCGGATGGTCCCCCCCAAACTTCAGGGAAAAAAAAAAAACCTTCCCCCCCCACCCCCCGAGTCCATTTACGGGTGGCTCTCCTCCCAGTTTTGGGGGGTTTCATCTCCATTTCAGGGGTTTCCCACTGATTTTAGGGGTCTTCACCCCCATTTTGGGTGGATCCCCCCTAGTTTTGGGGGTCTCACACTGATTTTGTGGGTCTTCACCCTCATTTTAGGTTTATCTACTCTTGATTTTGGGGGGTTTCAACACGATTTTGGGTGGATCCTCCCCAATTTTGGGTCAAATCATGGGACTGATTTTGGGGGTCTTGACCCTGATTTTTGGGGTCTCACACTGGTTTTGGGGGTCTCACGCTGATTTTGGGTGGATCCCCCGATTTTGGGAGTCTCACATTGGTTTTCGGTTGATTCCCACTGATTTTGGGGTCTCCACCCTGATTCTGGGGGGGGTTCAGCCCGATTTTGGGGTGTTTCCCCCAATTTTGGGGGTTTCTCCATGATTCTGGGGGTCTCCACTCCCATTTTGAGTGGATCTCCCCTGATTTTGGGGGTCTCCGCTCCAGTTTTGTGATTCCCCACCCTGATTTGGGGGATCTCCCCTTGATTTTGGGTGTTTCCCCCCCTTCAGTGTTTTTTAGGGGGTCACTGAGGGGTTTGGGGACCCCCCTGAGTGGAGGGGGGGGAGGGCTTTTGGGACCCCCAAACTGTAAATAAAAACTGAGGACAAACCTGAGCCCGACCGACCTTTAATTTGGGGGGCGGGGGGTCCCCAAACCACGGGGATGTCCCCAAAATCAGGGGACCTTCAATTTGGGTGAAGGGGCCCAAAATCAAAAGAGGGGGTCCACAAAATTACTCTCCGTGTCACCTAGGGGGGAGGGGGAAGCGCTAAGGGGGATTTGGGGGCCCCCCCCCTCCAAAATCTGGGGGAAGCTTTGGGGGACACGCCCCCACAAAAAAAGTTGGGGTCTTGGGAGTCTCCAAGGGGGTCCTGGGGGACCCGAGGGGGTTTTGGGGCCCTCCCGACGGAGGGGGCTGAGGCCACGCCCCCTTGGGTAAATCCACGCCCCCTCTCTTTCGCCATTGGCCGCTCCGCGCCGGGGCGGGCGCTGATTGACTGAGCCCCTCGTGGCGCGCACGTGGGCGGGGGCGCATGCGCGGGAGGCGACCCAGCTCCTCCCCCTATCACGCGGCGTCACGCTCTTGCGTGCTTCTGCATAAGTTTGCCCAAAACGAGACCCCCGGAAGGGGGATGAGCGTCATCAAGCCGATCTGCCTAATACGGCGTTGCCGTGGAAAGCAACCCCTCCCCAAAAGCCTCGGGGGGGGGAGTTCCCCACTCACGCGCCGCGTGCTGCAAATCTCGCGAGACTTCTTCGCGCGGGCGTGGCGCTCCGCGCGGGAGCGCTCCGAACTCTCGTGAGACTTCATCACATCACCGCCTTGCTGAGCTCTCCAAACCTCGCGAGACTTCGCCGCGTCGCCGTGTGGCTGCCGCTGAGCGCTCCAAACCACGCGAGACTCCGCAGCGGCTTTTACACGGTAGCGCTTTTAAATCTCGCGAGACCGCGCGGGCACCTCGGCGGTCGGACCCTTTAATCTCGCGAGATTTCCCCCGAGTAGGCTCAAACCGCACCCCTCCAGGGTGGAGGGGGCGCCGCGCGCAGGCGCGCTCCCCTCTCTCCCGCGCCCCTCCCCTCGCTGCGCATGCGCCGGGCCGAGTAGGGAGCAGGCCCCGCCCGTGCCGGGGCGGCGGCGCATGCGCAGCGCGGCGCGGGGGGTGCGGCAGCTCGGGCTCGGCGGCGGTTCGGGGCGCGGGGATCGCGGCGGTGAGTGCGGGACACCCGGCGGGCGCGGGGGGCGAGCCCGGCGGGCAGAAGGAGCGGCGGGAGGGGTCCCAGGGCGGGCGCGGAGGAGGGGGGAGGGCAGGCGGAGCGAGAGGCCTCCACACCCCGCCCAGCGCTAGGCCGCGAGCGCGGCCCGGGCCGCGTGGCCCCGGGGGGGGGGAAGGAAAGGGAAGGGGGGGACCCCCCGAATTAGAAAGCGGGCGGAGGGCCTGGTAAGGGATAGGGAGAGCCCCTCCCGCTCTGCGTGTGTGTTTGTCCCTTCTCGGTACAAGAAACAGGGAGGAACCCCCTTAATGGAGGGGAAGTGGGGGGATTATGAGGATTACAGAGGACCCCCCTAATGGGGGAAGGGGTATAAGAATTAGGGGGGAACCCCCCCAATATAAGGGACAGGGGACGCCCCCAAATAAGGGATAGGGCGCCCCCCCCCGATATGGAATAGGGGACCCCGCCGCTATAAGGGGTAGGGGAGACCCCCTCGTATAAGGGAGGGGGATCCCCTTTATAAGGAATTGGAGGGGGGGCACTCTCCAAATAAGGAAAAATGGATCTGTGTAATAAAAGATTTTGAAAACCTCTCCTTTACATAAAGGTTTATGGGGACACCCCCCCCCACCACAATTTAGGAAAAGAGAAATTGGAGGGGGACACACACCCCTTACTGTCCATATAAGGAATGGAGGGGACCCTTCCCATATATAAAGAATGAGGGGGGGGATCCCCTCCATAGAAGAAAATGGGGGTCACCCCCCCCCTTTCCCAAGGAGGAGTGGGGGGACCCCTCTTCTTATAAGGACTGGGGTCTTTCCTGTCTAGGGAATTGGGGACCCCCAAATGAGGGAGAAGGGGGATTCCCTCCCCTCTGAGTAAATGGAATGCCCCCATAAGGATTAGTGGGGACCTCCCCCAGAAAGGGAATAAGGGGGACCCCCCCAAAGTCTTTATAAAAGGAAGGGGTGTCCCTTAAATAAGAAATTAAAGGGCAGCTCTCCCCTCATGTCAGGAATGTGAGAATCCCCCCTCCCCCCATTCCGTCTGGGACCCCACCCCAGATAAGGAATTGGGGGACCCCACCCCCATAAGGAATGGGGGCACCCCTCGTAACCAATATGGGGGACCCCCCCCCAGTATAAAGATAGAGGGTCCCCCTTAAAAGGAATAGGGGGATCCCCATAAATAAGGAATAGGGGGGGAACCCCCCAGTTCTCCATATAAGGAATGGGGAGACCCCTTCCCATTAAAGGAAGGGGGCTCTCTATATAAGGAATAGGGGAAGCCCCCCATATGGGGAAGGGGGATCCCCTCCCATCTAAGGAATTAAGGGAGAACCCCCAATTTTGTATATAAGGAATGGGGGGACTCCTCCCCATAAATAAGGAATGGGGGACCCCCCCCCATATGAGGAAGAGAGGGGGGAGCCCCAACTCGCCAGATAAACATTTGGGGACCCCCCTCCTCCAGGATTCCCCCTGACACCTCCCACTTTGGGGGTCTCCTGTTCCCATTTTGTGGTCCCCCTCACCCTCCTCAACACCTCCCACGTTTTGGGGTCCCCCAAACCACCCTTTTTTGGGTGTCTTCAGCCTTGGTGAAGTCCCTTTCCCAGTGTCCCCAAACCCCTTTCAGGGCTTCCTCCTCCTCCGACCCCCGTTTCTGGGGCTCCCTGTTCCCATTTGGGGTCCCCCTCACCCCCCTCAACACTTCCCATGTTTTGGGGTCCCCCATACCCCCCATTTTTGGGTTTTTCAGCCCCTTTTTGGGGTTTTCAGCCCCAATGATGTCCCTCTCCCGGTGTCCCCAAATTCCTTTCCCAGTGTCCCCAAACCCCTTTTAGAGCTTCCCCCTCACCCTGAGCCCCCATTTTTGGAGTTCCCTATTCCCATTTTGGGGTCCCCTGACTCTCTCCGACCCTCCCCTTTTTTGGGATGCCGCCTGATGCCCCATTTTTGGGGATTTTTCCTCTCAGACAGTTGAGGGACGATGGCATGGATGTGGAACTGGGTGACCCGGGGAGCCTTGGTCATGTTCCCCATCACCCCTTTTGGGGTTCTGCTGCCCCAGGGGTGCCCCCCACCCCCATAACTCCATAATTTAGGGGTTCCTGACCCTCTAACCCCCATTTTTGGGGATTTTTTCCCTCAGACAATGGAGGGCCAACAACCAGCCCTTGGAGCCGGGGACCTGTGGGGGCCTCGACCACGTTCCCCATCACCCCTTTTGGGGTCTCTCCACCCCTACAACTCCCCGATTTAGGGGTTGCTGACCCCCTGCCCCCTTTTTTTTTGGGGTTTCTCCCCCCAGAGAGGCGATGGCCGACGACCTGGACTTCGAGACGGGGGACGCGGGGGCCTCGGCCACGTTCCCCATGCAGTGCTCGGCCCTGCGCAAGAACGGCTTCGTGGTGCTCAAGGGCCGCCCCTGCAAGATCGTGGAGATGAGCACCTCCAAAACGGGCAAGCACGGCCATGCCAAGGTACCCACACACCCCAAATGTCCCAAATGTACCCCAAAATATCCCAAATGTACCCCAAAATATCCCAAATGTGCCCCAAAACATCCCCTGAGCAACCGCGGCCCTGCAGAGACACACACAGCCCATCCTGGAGCCTGCCCTGGGCTCTGAGCCCACCCCAAACACCTCCAAAACGGGCAAGCACGGCCATGCCAAGGTACCCACACACCCCAAAATGTCCTAAAATAGCCCAAATGTATCCCAAAATATCCCCTGAGCCATCACGGCCCTGCAGAGACACACACAGCCCATCCCGGAGCCTGCCCTGGGCTCTGAGCTCACCCCAGGCAGCCCCAGAATGGGCAAACACAGCTGTGCCAAGGTACCCAGAGACCCTTAAAGATCCTAAAATAGCCCAAATGTGCCCCAAAATATCCCAAATATGCCGGAGAATAATCCCCTGAGCAACCACAGCCCCAGAATGTCCCACAAGTGCCCCAAAATACCCCAGAATGTCTCAGATGTGCCCCGGAATATCCCAGTGCCCCCCCAGTGCTCCCAGTAAAACCCTCCTGGTGCCCTCCCAGTAATCCCAGTACAGGCCCCCCCCGGCCTTCCCAGTGCTTCCAGTAAACCAAGTATAGTCTTCCCAGTGCTCCCAGTAAGCCCAGTTCCCTCCCACCCCAGGTTCACCTCGTGGGCATCGACATCTTCACGGGCAAGAAATACGAGGACATTTGTCCTTCCACCCACAACATGGACGTGCCCAACATCAAACGCAACGACTTCCAGGTGAGGGACCCCCGGGGGAGACCTCCCAGGTGAGGGGACCCCCCAGGTAAACATGGTCTCACCTGTCCCCACCTGTGCAGCTGATCAGGATGCAGGACAGGTACCTGGGGGTTGTTTGGGGGTTGTTTGGGGTTCCCTGGTCTCACTTGTCTCTCCTGTGCAGCTGATCAGGATCCAGGACGGGGTACCTGGGGGTTGTTTGGGGTTCCCTGGGAGTTGTTTGGGGTTACCTGGTCTCACTTGTCTCCCCTGTTGCAGCTGATCGGGATCCAGGATGGGTACCTGTCGCTGCTCCAGGACAGCGGGGAGGTGAGGGAGGACCTGCGGCTGCCGGAGGGGGAGCTGGGCCGGGAGATCGAGCAGAAATACGACTGTGGAGAGGAGATCCTGGTACTGGGGGCACTGGGGGGGTGATGGGGGCACTGGGAGGGGTTGTGGGAGCACTGAGAGGGATTGGGGGGTTATGGGGGCAGTGGGTGGGGTTATGGAGGCACTGGGAGGAGTCTGGGGGGGGTAAATGGAGGCAGTGGGAGGAGACTTGGGAGGGTTATGGGGGCACTGGGAGGGACTGGGACGGACAGGCTGGGAAGGGTTAGGGGGGCACTGGGAGGGATTGGGGGTGGGGAGGAATCCTGGTACTGGGGAAGGACTGGGGGGCACTGGGGTCCCTGGGGTGGTGCTGGGGGTGCTGCCCCAGAGTCCCCCTGTGTGTGTCCCCCCCAGATCACGGTGCTCTCGGCCATGACCGAAGAAGCCGCTGTCGCCATCAAAGCCATGGCCAAATAGGGCAGGTGGGGGATGAGACCGCGGCTGGGGGGGTGGGGCCTGGGACAAAAGGGGCGGGCCCATGTCCAACTACGGGGGGTGGGGGCAGAGCCATGGCCAAAGAGGCAGATAAGGGTGGGATCAGTTAGTGGGGTGGGGCTGGGACCAAATATGGCAGGTGGGGGTGGGATCAGGATTGGGGGTGGGGCCATGGCCCAATATGGCAAGTGGGGGCAGGGCCAGGACCAAGAAAGGGCAGCTGGGGGTGGAGCCGTTCTGAGGGGTCCCCACTGTGGTTCTGGTAGCTTTTTCTGAGTCTGGGGTCCCCATTTTGGGTCATGGGGAGGTCTCTCTGGGAATGGGGTCCCCTGTATGAGCGTGGGGTACTCTCTTTGAGTCTTGGGGGCTCTCTGTGGGTCTGGAAGGGTTGTTCTGGGTTTGGGGTCCCCACTTTAAGTCTGAGGGTCTTTGGGGGGTTATTTGGGGTCTGGAGTCCCCACTTTGGGTCCCAGCCCTTCCCTCTCTCTCCCTCCAGGCCGGCGCCGCCGGGGGCCGGGCCGGGCCCCCCCCAACTGCAACTGCGGGGTAGGGGGGGTGGGGCGGGGTGACCTTGTGTGTGGGGGGAAAGGGCTTGAGCTCCAGGGTGGGGCTGGAGGGGCCCCCACTCCCTCCTTTTCTCCCCCCCAAAAAAACCGCTCCCCTCCCTCAAAAACCCCACCCCCCACAAAACCCCGCGGTGGGGGGAGGGACACCCCGTAAATGGGGAGGTGGGAAGGGGAAGGGGCTTCCCCAGGCCCCTCCCACACACACACTCGGCCCTTCCCCCCTCCTGGCCCCGCCCCCCTCATTGGGGCTTCGCCGGATCGGAAATGAAATAAATAATTAAAAAAAAACAAAAACAAAAACAAAAATCAATTAAAAGTAAATGTTGCGTTTATTGGGGGGAGGGGAGATAGGCATGACATCATCCAGGCGGTGCTGACATCATCGCTGATGTCATCACTTGTGGTAGAAGCGCTGGCCCTGCCCGTGGGGCAGGAAGGGGCCGTGCCGGGCCTGAAGGGGGGAAGGGCGTGTGGGGGAGGGGTAGAGAGGCCTCCCCTTCCCCCACTCTTAAAAGGGGGCTTGGAGGGTGGAGGGGAGGGGCAGGGTGGGGAGGGTGACTCACGTGGGAGGGGGCGGTTGGGGGCGGCGCCGTGGGGGAAACTGCCGGGGAGGCGGCGAGGGGGGCGGGAAGGGCAGTGCTGGCTGGGGGAGGTAGCTGAGAGGAGGCACACGGTGGTGCCCCTCCCCCACTTTGAACCTCTCCCCCCACTCCAGTCCATCCCAGTCCCCTTCCTAAACCCTCTCCGGTCCCCCCGCACTCCTCCCTCAGTCCCCCACCCCGCTCCATCCCTCATCGCATATCACACACCCCCAAATCTCAACCCCCATTTCCCTCTCACAATCCCACCCTCACTGCCCCCACCCCAACCCATTATCATCCCCTTTTTTGCCCCTCCCCACTTCCCTCTGCCCCTCCTAGTTATTTTCCAAACCCCTCCCACCCAAAACCTTCCCTCCCATTTTACCCATTTTTGCCTCTCACCACCCCTCACCCCAAGCACCCCTCCCCACCCGAAAGCCCCTCCCCTGTGCCCCTCCCCACCCCATTCCCCCAGACCTTGGGGTTGCTCCTGGATGGGGACGGGCAGTTGGGGGCTGGGCAGGAGGGCAGGGCCGGGATGCAGTGCCTGGAGGGGAAGGGTTGGTATGGGAGAGAGATGAGGTGTCAGAAGGGGTCATGGCGACCCCTGTGCCCTTCCCCCACCCATAAACCCCTCTCTGATACCCCCAAATCTTCATTGTCCCCTCCCCCACCCTAAATCACCTCCTCCACCTCATCTCTGCCCCTCTCCCGCCTGCTGATCAGCTTTATCGCCCCTCCCCCCATTCCATCTCCCTCCCCAACTTCTCCAAGTTGCCCCTCCTCCAAAATCCCATCATCCTTCCCCCACCCCCATTTCCCTCACCCCTAGGCCCCCTTTAGTCCCTCCCTCACCCCACTTCCCACCCCTCCCCCTACTCAGCCCCTTCCCCACTCCCACAAATACCCCATTACCCCTGCCCCCTGATCTTTTCTCTCCCCACAACCCCTTTTTCTATTGCCCCTCCCTCATGCCTCTGGCCCCTCCCCGCACTCACAGCATCGCTGAATCCTGATTGGCTGTTGGCATGTTCCAGCTGCTTCTGCAGGGGGAGGGACGAGCTGGGGGGGAGGAACCCTGGGGGGGAAGGGGCAGCACCGTCAGGGGGAAGGGACCCACAAAAATAGGGTGTGGGAGTCCCAAAAGTGGGGAGGGACCCCAAAAAATGGGGGGCATTCAGGTGTGTGTGGGCGTGTCCCAGGTGTGTGTGGGTGTGTCGAGGTGCGCGGTGGGCGTGGCCTCACCTGACTGGGCTGGTGGGAAGTGCCCATGGAGGCCGAAGGCGCCCCCTGGTGGTTGCTGGGGCAGGAACGGCAGCGCCGGGAATGCAGCAGGGGCTGCGGGGGAGGGAGTGGTCAGACCCCCAGTGACCTCCCCAGTACGCCCAGTGAACCCCCCAGTGCTCCCAGTTACTACCAATAACCCCCAGTGTAGCCCCCAGTGCTCCCAGTAACCCCAGTCCACCTCCCAGTCCCAACTACCTCCCAGTCCCCCCCAGTCCCTCCCAGTCTCCCCTACTCTCCATCCAACCCCTCCCAGTCCCTCCCAACCACCCCCAATCACCTCCCAATCCCTCCCAGTGCCCCTCAGTCTCCCCAGTCCCTCCCAGTACCCCCCAGTGCACCCAGTCTCACCCCTCAGCTGTTGGGCCCTCCGTAGCTGGGGCTGCGCGGGGGAGAGGGGGCGGGGCCTGGCTCTGCCCCACGGCGAGTGGGGGTGGGGACCCCTGGCCTCCCCCGAAGGCCGCAGGGTCCCCTCCCCCGCCGAAGGGCGGCTGAGCCCCGAAGTGACGAGGCTGTAATTGAGGGAGGGGGGCCCAAAAAGTTGGGGGAGGTGTGTCTCAGAGATCAGGGACCTCCAGGAACCCCTCAGAGCCCCCACGGACCCCCAGTAGGAAAACCCACCCCCAAAGCCCCCACAAGAACTCATCAGGACCTCCTAGGACTCCCCCACAGCCCTCCTGGGATCCTCAGTAGGGGACCCTCTCAGACCCCTCCCAGAGGCCCTCAAAGCCCCCCAGGACCCTCCAAAACCCCCGGTAGGAAAACCCATCCCCCAATATCCCCCCCAAGGCCCTCAAAGCCCCCACAGACCCCCCAAAGCCCCCAAGAGCCCCCACAACCTCCCAGGCCCCCCCCAACTCACACTGATCACGGGGGGTCCGAACATCTGCTTGGCCCTGTCGGCCCCGATGAGCCCCGAGCGGGGACCCCCTGGGCTGCCTGGGGGTACCTAAAATCACACAGGGACCCCCAGAGCTCTCCCAAATCCCCCCAAATCCCCACTTGGGACCCTCCAAACCCTCCCAGATTCCCCTGAAACCTCCCCAGGACCCCTCAATCCCCCACCCAACTCCCCCCAAACTACCCCAGAACTTTTTAAATCTCCCTAGGACCATCCAAATTTCCCAATACCCCCCAAGCCCCCCTAGAACCTCTCAACTCCCCTCTTGAGACCCCCCATCATCCCTCAAAGGCCCCCAGCCTCCTCCCCCACCTGCCATGCCAAGCAGATGAGCCCCTGGGACCCCCAAACTTTGGGGGTACGCGGCTGCTGTCAGCGTCGTCAGGTCACTGGGGGGAAAAGGAGGGGTTAGGAATCCCCAAAACACCCCCAGGACTGGCCAAACCTCCCTCACACCCCCCACCCCGCTCCCGAGCCCTCAAAGCCCTCAGGACTCCTCAACCTCACCCCTGGACCCCCCAAACTTCCCTTAGATCCCAATAAATCCCCCCCAAATTCCCCCTAGGAACCCCACGCCCCTCTTAAATACCAATAACCCCCCCAGACTCTTCCAGAACCCCCCTAAACCCCTCCAGGGCTCCCCAAGCCCTCCCAAAATCCTACCCAAACCTTTCCAGGACCCCCCAAACTCCCCAGAATCCCCTCCAGGATTCCCCCCAATACACCCAAACCCTTCCAGGACTCCCAGCCCCCTTAAATCCCAATACCCTCCCCCCAATCTCTCCAGGACTCCCCATACCCTCCCAAAATCCCCCCAATCCCCCCTTAAATGTCAATAATCTGCCCCCCAGACCCCTCCAGGATCTCCCAACCCCCTCAAATTCTCCCCAAACCCTTCCAATTCTCCCCAAACCCTCCCAAAATCTCCCCCCTAACTGTTCCAGGACACTCAAGCCCCCCTCCAAATCCCCCCAAACCCTTCCAGGACCCTCTAAACTCCCCCAAAACCCCCCCTCCACCTCTGCTCCTTGCGGCGCCGTTTCTCCTCCTCGTGCAGAACCTTCTTGAGCTGCAGGAAGAGCTGGTGCTTCTCCTCCTGCAGAGCCCCCAACTTCTCCTGCAGCTTCAGCAGCTGCAGTGGGGGGTACGGGTGTCAGGGAGGTGATTTGGGGAGGTTTGGGGTTGGGTTGGAGGGAGATTTTGGGGGTTTCTGGGACTCTAAGAGGGATTTGGGGAGAGTTTGGGGAGTCCTGGGGGGCCTTGGAGCTCCTGGAGAGCATCTTGGAAAAGTTTGTTTGGATCCTGGGGAGTCCTGAGGGATTGGGGGAGGGTTGGAAGAGGTTTGAGGGGGATTTGGAGGAGAGTGGAAGAAGGTTTTGGGGTTTTTTTGGGCTCTAGGGATGTGGGGGAGAGTTTTGGCAGGTCTTGTGGGGTTTATTTGGGTCCTGGGGGGACAAGGAGAGGGTTGGGGTGCATTTTAATGGGACTCGGGGGGGATTTTGAAGGAGATTTTTGACAAGATTTGGGGTGGGGGGAGTTGTTGGGATTTGGGGGGGATTTAGAAGGACATTTCTGACAATTTGAGGATTTTGACAGGATTTTTGGGGGGTTCTGAAGGAGATTTCTGACCAGATTTTTAAGGAGGATTTTGATGGGATTTCAGGGGGAATTTGATGAGATTTTGAGGGGGTTTAGATGGAGATTTTGATGAGGATTGTGATATGATTTTTGGGAGGATTTTGATGGGATTTTGGGGGGGGGTTTAATAGGATTTAGTGGGGGATTGGGGGGTGTTTTGGGGGCTGTGTCCCACCTGCTCCCGGGTCTCCTCCAGGGACATCCTCTCCTCCAGCTCCTTCCTCCGCCGCCGCTCCTGCTCCTCCCGCACCTTCTGCTCCATCATCTTGTCCACCTCCTCCTCCTCTGGAGGGGGGCAGGGCAGTCATCCAGGGGGTCTCAGGAGTCAAAGGGGTCTCAGGGGGTCATGAGGGATCAGGGGGTCACCCGGGGCACGAGACACCTTTACTTTCTCACCTTTATTTTCTCTCTCACCTTCATATTTTTTTTCATTTTCTCTCTCTCATCTTTATTTTCTCTCTTCCCTTGATTTTCTCTTTCCCGTGATTTTCTCTCCCTGTCCCCTCAGCCTCTCCCCGGGGTGACACCTTCCCACTCCACATTTTCCCAGACAATTCCCTATCAATCCCTTCCCTTCACACCCAAACTGCTCCAGAACTGCCCCGGGATACAAACACAGAACTGCAGAACTCAAGAAAATAAAACCACCAGATCTCAGCTTGGGGCCTGCACGGGGAGGGGGGCGGGGTCTGTTGACATGGAGACGCTTTCGGAGGAGGGGGCGTGTTGTTATGGATTCACCGGTGGGCGGAGTCTAAAGCTGGGGGGTGTGGCCTGTTACCGTGGTTATCCGGGGCAAGGGGTGGGACCTGTTGCTATGGAGACACACGGGGAGGAGCCTGTTGCTATGGAGACGCGAAGGGGCGGGGGGGAGTGGGGCCGTGGCCATGGGGGTCCCTGTTTCTATGGAGACATAAGGGGGCACGGCCTGTTGCCATAGAGAGGCCGGGGACCCCCTTCCGGGGTGCGTGGCTTGTGGACACGGTGACCTCAGACGAACTCCCTGAATGAGCGGAGCCCGTTGCCATGGAGACCCCGGGGGCGGACCCCCTCCCTCTCCCGCTGCCTTTTCCGAACCCGCCCTCCCCCACGACCCCCTCCAGGCCTCCTCCCCCCCGACCCCGTTAATGGCCTCACCCTGCCGCTTGCGCTCCCGCTCCACCATGACGTGCCGGTGCAGCGCCCGCGCCATGGCCGAGCTCAGCTTCGGCCGCTCGAGCAGCGCCGGCATCGTGGGGGACGCCGCGGGGGCCGCCGGGACCCCCCCAGGGAGGGCCCCGCTAGCGGCAGAAGGGGAGCGGCCCCCGAGGACCGACGGACGGGCCGAACCACGGAGCGACCGACGGATGGAGCAGCGCTGCGCACTTCCGCTTCCGGGGGCAGGACACGCCCCCACCGCCAGCGCGAACGAGGCTGAACCGCGCCCACAGAGCCGGGAGCGAGGCTGAACCGCCCACAGAGCCGGGAGCGAGGCTGAACCGCCCACAGAGCCGGGAACGAGGCTGAACCGCCCACACTGCCAGGAACGAGGCTGAACCGCGCCCACAGAGCCGGGAGCGAGGCTGAACCGCGCCCACAGAGCCGGGAACGAGGCTGAACCGCCCACAGAGCCGGGAGCGAGGCTGAACCGCGCCCACAGAGCCGGGAGCGAGGCTGACCCGCCCACAGAGCCGGGAGCGAGGCTGAGCCGCGCCCACAGAGCCGGGAGCGAGGCTGAACCGCCCACAGAGCCGGGAGCGAGGCTGAACCGCGCCCACAGAGCCGGGAGCGAGGCTGAGCCCCGCCCACAGAGCCGGGAACGAGGCTGAGCCGCGCCCACAGAGCCGGGAACGAGGCTGAACCGCCCACAGAGCCGGGAACGAGGCTGAACCGCGCCCACAGAGCCAGGAGCGAGGCTGAACCGCCCACAGAGCCGGGAGCGAGGCTGAACCGCCCACAGAGCCGGGAACGAGGCTGAACCGCCCACAGAGCCGGGAGCGAGGCTGAACCGCGCCCACACTGCCAGGAACGAGGCTGAACCGCCCACAGAGCCGGGAACGAGGCTGAACCGCGCCCACACTGCCAGGAACGAGGCTGAACCGCGCCCACAGAGCCGGGAACGAGGCTGAACCGCGCCCACACTGCCAGGAACGAGGCTGAACCACGCCCACAGAGCCGGGAGCGAGGCTGAACCGCCCACACTGCCAGGAACGAGGCTGAACCGCGCCCCCCGAGGCGGGAGCGAGGCTGAACCGCGCCCACAGAGCCGGGAGCGAGGCTGAACCGCGCCCACAGAGCCGGGAGCGAGGCTGAACCGCGCCCACAGAGCCGGGAACGAGGCTGAACCGCCCACAGAGCCAGGAACGAGGCTGAACCGCGCCCACAGAGCCGGGAACGAGGCTGAACCGCGCCCACAGAGCCAGGAACGAGGCTGAACCGCGCCCACAGAGCCGGGAACGAGGCTGAACCGCGCCCAGCGAGCGGCTTGTGAGATGAAACCACGCCCCCCGAGGCGGAAACGAGGCCAAACCGCGCCCATCCCGCACCGTGAGGCGAGGCCGCGCCCTAAAGGCGGGAGCGAGGCCCAACCGTGCCCAGCACGGGTGCCGTGAGGCGAGGCCACTCCCGCGGAAAGCGAGGGAAAAGTCAAGCCGCGCCCCCCTGGAAGTGAGGGGAAGCCACGCTCTTTTAGTGCCGTGCGCAGATGCGGGGTCTAAGGTCACGCCCTCCGCGGTGAGACCACGCCTCCTTTCAGTCTGGCCACGCCCCCAAGGACCCTTTCCTCAACCCCCCCTTGACCCCCCTCTCCTCCTAAGGTCTCAATTCGGCCCCTCCCTCATCCCAGGGACCCCCAATTTTCCCTTCCCCCGATCCCCAACCCCATATTGCGAGTCTCATTCTGCCCCTCCCCCACCCAAAGACCCCCTTCCACCCCAAACCCACCCTTCCCACACACACCACTCGTAGTTTCTCTCTCACGATTTTTATAACCGGAGGGGGGGGGGGAAAGAAGGGGGAGAGGCGGGACCATGGGAACCCCCCTGGCCCCTCCCCCTCTCCCCCAGCAGCAGCTTTAAATAAAAATTCCTTTTTTTAACATAAAAAACCCCACAAACCTCCCAACCTCCCCCCGACCCTTTCTCCCCAAAAAGTCCCCCCCCCTTCTCCCCCCGCGGATTCACATTTGGGGCAATAAATAAATGGGGAGGGAGGGAGGAGGGGCAGGGGGTGTGCAGTGTGAGGGGGGGGCAAGTGCTGTGACACCCCTCCCCCGAAATTGGGGTGAAATCACCCACAAAAATGGGCTCAGGGCCCCCCAGTTTTGGGTCAGAGACCCCCCAAAATTGGAGTCAGAGTCCTCCCCAAAACTGAGGTGCAAGCCCATAAAATGGGGTCAGAGATCCCCCCCAAAAATGGGTTCTGAGACCGCCCCAAAATTGAGGTCAAAGACCCCCCCAAAATTGGGTTGAAACCCCCTGAAATGGGGTCAAAGACCCCCAAAATGGACTCAGGGACCCCCAAAAATTGAGGTCGCAGACACCCCTCCCTTCAAAACTGAGATGAAACCCCCTGAAATGGGGTCAGAGACCCCTCCCAAAATTAGGCTGAACCTCCCAGAAAAATGAGCTCAGGGACCCCCCCCAAAAATGAGGTGAAATACCTCCAAAATTGGTGTGAAACCCCCAAAATTTGGGTCAGAGACCTGCAGGAGGGAGATCCCCATCCCTCTGAGGAGGTCTTATTTTGGAGGTATTTCCCAATTCTGTGGGGGTTTCCTATCCCTGGGGGGGGGGTCCCCATTCCTAGGGGGTCCCAATCTTGGGGGTTCCCATTGTTCCCATTTGGCGGGGGGTGGTGTGATCCAACTTTTTGGGGTGGAGTGTGTCCCAATTTTTGGGGGGCTGTTCCCCATTCCCCCATTTTGGTGAGGTTACCAACTTTTTTGGGGGGGACTCCCACCTCCAGGGGGGGTGTCCCCCAGGTCCAGAGTTCCCATTCCTTGGTTTGGGGGGGGGGTGTCCCCCTTATTCCCCTCCAGGGGGCCCCCCAATTCCTGATGGGGGTTCCCCAGTTTGGGGGGGTCCCAACTTTTAGGATGAGTGTTCTCCACTTTAGGGGGGGCATCTCCAATCCAGGGGGGTCCTCTTTACCCCCCTTCCCTCCAAGGGGTCCCCTAATTCCCGGGGGTGATGAGTTCCCCCCTGATTTTGGGGAGCCCCCCCAGCCCTCAGTCGACGCGGACGAGCAGCCCGGCCAGGACGGTGGCCCCAGGCTCCTTGGTGACCCACTCGAGCTGGGTGGGGTCCAGCCCCTCGGGGGGGTCCAGGGATGGGGGGGGGCGCAGGGAAGGGGGGCCAGCCCGGAACGACCCCGGACGAACCCAAACCTCGAAGGCCACCTGAGCCCCCCGGGCACGGGGCCAGCCCGGCTCCCGGAACCTGGGGAGGGGGAAATGGAGTTAGACCCCCCGCCAGACCCCTGACTCCCCTAAACCCACCCAGAGCTCCACAACCCTCCTCCAAGCCACCCCGGCTCCTGGAACCTGGAGAGGGGGGACACAGGGTCAGAAGACCACCCCAGACACCTCTGACCCTCCCAACACCCCAGAGCCCCCCAAAAACCCCCCTGGACACTCCCACAGCCACCCTGGCTTCCAGAACCTGGGGAGGGGTTAGGAGACCACCCAGAACCCCCCAGACCCCCTCAAGGCCCCCTAAACCCACCCAATCCTTCCAAACACACGAGGACACCCCCAACGCCCCTCAAATCCCCCAGTCCTTCCCAGGATCCCCCCAAATCTCTCTAGGGCCCCACCTCCCCACACACCCCCAGACATTCCCTCATTCCCAGAACCCCCCTAAAAAACCCCAGCCCTCCCCAGCCCCTCCCCACTCACTGGACCCTCTTGGCGAAGGGCTCCAGGGCGGCATAGCCCAGGGCTGGTGACAACACAAGGGGGGCAGGGCCCGAGGCAGGGCCCACGCCGGGGGCGGGGCCTGAGCGCGAGGTGGGCGGGGCCAGGGGCTCTGCCTTGGGGGGCACTGAGGAGGGACCAGGGACCTGGAGGAAGGACCAGAGAGGGGGGGCATGGTTAGAGGAAAGGGGGCCTCCAAGGGGTGGGGTCAGGGAGGGTGTGGTCAGAGGGGAAGGTGCCTTGGAAGGGTGTGGCCTCACAGGGCGTGGTCAGAGGGAGCAGAGGGGCATCACTGGGTGTGGTCAGTGGGGTGGGGGTTCAGATGGGTGTGGTCAGAGGGGGCAGGGCCATGTAGGGTGGTCGTCAGTGGGCATGACCAGATGGGGTAAAAGCCTCGGGTGTGGTGAGATGGAGCGTGGTCAAAAGGGGCGGTGTTAGAAGTGAGCAGGGCACCTGATGGCAGGTGTTCTCAGGTGGAGCATGGCCTTCAAGGGGTGTGTAGTCAGAGGGGACAGGGCCACAAAGAGCATGGCTGGAGAGGTGTGGCCAGAAGAGGTGTGGTTGTGGGAGTGGCTTGGGGGTCCCCCCGGGGTATGTGGGGTGAGGGAGGGAGAGTTGGGGGGTTGGTTCAGGGACCCCATCACCCCCTCCCCTTTTTTGGGGTTCTGCCCCCTTCCCGGGGCCACTCTGCCCCAAGCTGGGGGTGGTGGGTTGGGGGCTTTCAGGGGATGGATTTGGGGGTCTCCCAAGCTTTCCCCCTCCCTTTTTGGGGTCCCCCTCAGTTTTTGGGCTCCTCTCTCATATTTTGGGTTCTCCTTCCTCACCACCCGCCCCCCGCCCCTTCCTGTTCCACTCCCCCCCAGGATCACTTTGCCCTGGGACCCTGGGGTGCATTAGGAGGGTCCAGGGATGGACTTGGGGATCTTTATTTTTGCAGGGGTTCCCCCCACCTGGTACGAGCTCCCCCCGGTCGAGGCTGCGCCGAACGACCCCCGCGCTGGTGCCGTGATACGCCCGAGGCCACTTCTGCCATCCTCCCCCCTCCAGCCGTGGCTTTGGCCTGTGGGGGAACCCCAAAATCAGGGGCGGCTCTGACAGTCCCTTGAGCCCCCCAGACACCTCAAACCCACCCAGCATCCTCCAAAATTAGGGGAGAGGCTCCAGGACCCAACCAGGACACCCCCGGTAACAGAAACGCAGCCATGAAGCCCCAAAACTGGGGGGATGGGGGGCTCCAGGACCCACCCGAGACCACCTTTGGAAATACAAAACCACCCAAGAGCCCCCAAATCCCTCTTAAAACCCCCCAAACCTTCCTGAATGCCCCCAGGCCCCCCTAGGACCCCCTAAACCCATCCTGGACCCCCCAAACCCCCTTAGACCCCCCAAAACCTTTCTGGATCCCCCCAAGGCCCCCAGGATCCTCCCAACCCCCTCTTAGACCCCCTCAAACCACTCCTGCATCCCACCCTGCCCCCAAACCCTTCCCAGACCCCCTAAACCCCCCTTAGATACCTCAAGCAGCCACAGAACCCCCCAACCTCCCCTTAGAGCTCCTCAAACCCTTCCTGGACCTCCCCCCAGCCCTCTCAAACCCTCCTTAGACCCCTCCAACCCCCTTAGGCCCCCCCAAACCCCCAAACGCCACCCCCCTCTCCCCATACCGGAGGCTGAAGCGGCACCAACCCAAGGGCAGGGGGGGCTCTCGAGGATCACGGGAGTCACCCCCCCCCCACCCCGCTCACAGCCCTCACAGAAGCAGCGGCTGCGCAGGGCTCGGGGGGCAAAATACTCATCTGGGGGGAGAAAGTGGGGTCAGAGGGACCCCAAAATCACCCCCAGACACCAAAAACCTTCAGGGTGACCCAAGAAACCACCAGGAACCCCAAAAAAGCTCCCCAGAAAAATCCCAGGGATCCCCAAACCCCTCTGGGACCCCAAAACCCCCCAGGGAGCCCAGAAACCCCCCCCAGGGACCCCCCAAAAAAACAGGAGAGCCCCAGAAACCCAGGAGACCCCAAAAAAACCCAGGGGGGCCCCAAACCCCACCCAGGACCCACAAAAAAACAAGGGGACCCCAAAACCCCCCATGGATCTCAAAACCCTCAGGGAGCCCAAAACTCCCAGTGACACCAAAAAAGCCCCCAGGGACCCCCAAAATCCCCTCCCAGGAGGATCCCAGACACCCAGGGGTGCCCCCCCTATCCCGGGGACCCCTCATGCCCTTTCCCCAGGAACCCCCAATCCCCCCTCAAAGTCCCCCAGGGACCCCCAAACCGTCCCTGGGACCCCCCCAAACCCCCCCGGGGACCCCCAAATCCCACCAGGCAGCAGCAGCAGGTCCTTGAACCGGGCACAGAGAGCCTGGTAGGGGCAGGGCTGTGGGGGTGCGGGGGGGGCCCAGCACAGGCTCTCCTTCACCCCTGGGGGGACACAGGGGGGGGTCAGAGGTCTCTGAGATCCCCTCCCCCAAAAATTTGGGGGCTCCCTGACTACCAAACCACAAATTTGGGTGTCTCTGTCTCCACTAGCCCCCAAATCTGGGGGTCTCTGAGCCCCCGCTGGCCTCTCCTTCACCCCTCTAAAGGGGGTCAGAGGTCACTGAGAACTACCCCCAAAAAATTTGGCAGTCTCTGATTCTCCCGTACCCCAAATTTGTGAGTCTCTGACACCCCCAGCCCCAATTTTGGGTTTCCTGATCCCCTCATTCCCCAAATTTGGGGCTCCCTGATGCCCCCTTTCTCAAATTTGGGGGTCTCTGATCCCCCACACCCCAAATTTGGGGGTTTCTAACCCTTCCACCCTCAAATTTGGGGCTCCCAGCCCTACATCACCCCCCCAAATTCAGGGGTCTCACCTTCCCCCACCCCCACATTTGCGGGTCTCTGACACACCCACCACCCCAATTTGGAGTTGTCCCCCCCAGTTGATCTGACACTCCCTCCCCCTCCAATCTGGGGGTCTCTGACCCCTCCCCACCCCCAAATTTTTGGGTTTCTGATCCTCATACCCCAAATTTGAGGCTCCCAGCCCTTCCCACACACCTCCCAATTCGGGGGTCCTGCCCCTCCTCCACTCACCATCCACCACATCCGCCTTCTCCATGTCCCCCCGAGTCCGGGGGTCCCCGCTGGGCCCTCCCCCGTCCCCCCCCTCCGACACGATCGTCACCTGGGGGGGAAACAGACAAATTGGGGGGGGCCTAGGTGGGGCCTTGGGCCCTTCTGGGGAGATGTGCACCCCTTGAGAGGGTCCTGGGGCCCTTTTTGGGGGGTCTCCCCAATGGTGGGGGTGCCCCGGTGCCCCCCCTCACCTGCTGGCACTGCCCATAGAGGTCAAGCAGGACGTAGCAGGGGGTGGGGACCCCCCCAGCCACCACCCCCTGGTCGCGGCCATTGACGTAGAGGTGGAGCCGCCCCCCCAAATCCACCAACAGCCCCAGGCGGGTCCCGGCGGGGAGGGCTTCCAGGTTGGGCCCTGAGTGCTCCCGGATCTGGGGGGGGGAATATGAAGGGGAGTCACACTGAGGGACCCCTGGAGAGAACACCAGGAGAGGGGGACAAGGAGATGAGAAAAGAAGGGAGTGGGGGGAATGGGAGGGGGTGGGGAGGGATTTGGGGGTCCCAGGGATAGGTTGGGGGTCCTGAGGGGGTTTGGGGGGTCCTTCCTCTGCAGGATCCGGGATGGGATGGCGGGACTGGGGGAGTTTGGGGGGTTCAAGGATCTCTGGGGAGGGTTTGGGAGTCCCGGGGGGGGTTCAGGGCGTGGTTTTGGGGCTCACCCTGAGCCTCCTGGCATTGTGGAAGATCCCCCTCTTCTGCAGGATGCAGTATGCAGGTGGGGGGTTTGGGGGTCCCAGGTGGATGTTGGGGGTCCTGGGGGGTTCAGGGGGAATAGTTTGGGGGTCCCCACTGACCTTCCTGGCGTTGTGGAAGACCCCCCTCCTCTGCAGAATCCAGGCGGGGCGTTTGAGGCCGTGGGCACAGGCAGGGAGGGGGGAGCGCCCCGGGGGGGCCCCCGTGACCCCCAGAGCCAGTGAGGAGCTCCACTGCGGGTTCAGGGCGTCGATCTGCACCTGGGTGACATGTAGCGATGTCACAGCGATGTCATCGGCACCACAGTGACACCGACACCTATGATGATACCCACAGTGATGTCATCACACAGAAACACCTCCCCCAAATCGCACTCTCTCCCAAATCAGCTCCACTGGGAGCTCAGGATGTCAATCTGCACCTGAGGGACATCACAGTGACATCACTGCCACCCATGGTGATGTCATCAACACCTGCGGTGATGTCATCACACAAAAACATCCTTTAATCACAACTCCCCCCGAAATCAGCTCTAATGGGGGTCCAGGGGGTCGATCTGCAGCTGAGTGACGTCATAACCCCTGCAATGACGTCAGAGTAATGTCATCAACACCTGAAATAACATCATTGGTACCCACAGTGATGTCACGGACATACAAAGTGATGTCATCACATAGAGACCTCCCTATCACCCTTCCCATCACGAGCTCCACCGGGGCCTGCACCCAATGACATCATCAAAGCGCTGGGCCGCCACTGGTTGTCCACATACGACATCACCACCAACCTGTATGACATCAGCACGTTCCCCTATGATGTCATCGTGTTCCCCTACAACATCATCAAGTCCCCACGCCCCCAGTGACTGCTCCTGTATGACCTCACCAGCACCCTCTCCTCTCTATGACATCACCACGTCCCTGTGCCGCTATTGGTTGGTCCTGAGCGACGTCATGACATGCCCCTATGACATCACCATGTTCCCCTATGACCTCACCATGCTCCATTGTGACACCACCATGTTCGCTACGACATCACCCCATTTCCTATGACATCAATTTGTTTTCCCATGACATCTCTGTGCCCTTATGACATCACCACATTCCCCATGACATCATCACATTTGCTATGGCATCACCATGTTCCATATGACATCACCCCATCCCCTATAATGTCACCCTGTTCCCCTGTGACGTCACGGGGTGTGGGGGTGGGGGATTACCTGGAAGAGGCGGCCGGGAGGGAGGGGCTGCCCCACGACCACCAGCCCCTGGTTGTAGCTGGAGACCCTCGAGGCTGTTCGGTTGCCATTGGACAGCAGGATGTTCTTCCCGTGGCACCCCAGGAACGTGGGAGGGCCCTGGGGGTCACACGGGGGGTCACAGGGAGGGAGGGGCAGCAGGATGTTCTTCCCATGGCACCCCAGGAATGTGGGGGGGGCCATGGCAGGATACATGGAGGGTCACAGGGTCCTCTCACTGCCCTCCCAGTACCTCCAAACTGCCCCCAATCCCCTCCCACTCCCCTCGCAGTCTCTCCCAGTTTGTCCGGGTCCCCCTCAGTCCTCTCCCAATTCTCCCCCAGTCCCCTCTCAGTGCCTCCCACTCCCCACCAGTCCCCCCCATTTCCCCCTCAGTCCCTCCCAATCCCTCCCAGTCTCACCCAGTTCCCCTCCCAGTCCCTCCCAGTGCCCCCCCCAGTCCCCTCTATTCCCCTTCCAGTTCCTCCCAGTACCCCCCAGTCTCACCCAGTCCCCTCCTGCCCCGTCCCCGCCGGGAGGAGGAGGGCGTTGGTGGCGCAGGTGGGGGAGGGGCTGTGCGTGGGAGAGGGGCTGTGGGAGGGGCCTGGCTCGGCCCCACCCCCCCCACTGACGATGGACACGGCGGTGGCGCGGCCATACAGGTCCAGGGCCACGAGGCGTTCTGGGGGACAGTGACGTCATGGGGAGGTGATGTCACAGGGTGGGGGGTGGGGGTGATGTAAGGGGGTGTGTGTCATGTCAGAGAGAGAGGTGTGACATCACAGCAAAGCTCCGCCCCCACCCCGGTCCAGGGCCATGAAGGTGTTCTGGGGGGAAAGTGATTTTAGAGGGGCGTTGTGTATGTGATGTCACTGGGGGGATGTGACATCACGGGACAAGTGTGATGCCATAGAGAAAGATTTGATGTCATAAAAGAGGTACAATATTACAGGAAACAATGTGATGCCACAGAGGAGACTGCGATGTCACACGGGAACCATGATGTTACAGGGAGGACGTGATTTCACAAGGGAGGTGTGATGTCACAGAGGAGCAGTGATGTCACAGGAGAGGTGTGATGCCACAAGATAACTGTGATGTCACAAGGGATCAGTGACATCGTAAAAGAAGTGTGACATCATAAGGAAGGCTGTGATGTCACAGGAGAGGATGTAAAGGCTAGGGCTGTTTTGGGGTCATGGCCAGGGTTGCTGGGGGAGCTGTCCAGGGGTGTGATCAGGGTTTGTCCAAGGGGGTGTCTAGGGTGTGGTTGGGGGGGGCGGTACCTTGGCCACACCCGTGGCTGCGGGTCCCATGTCCTGCCCGTCCACTACAAGGTGCATCGAGTCGTCGGCCCCACGCCGGATCCCCAGGCGGTTCCCAACCTGAGGTACCCAAAAATCACCCCACATCACCCCAAAATGACCCCCAAATCACCTGGAAACCATTCCTAGGCGGCTCCCAACCTGGGACACCCCAAAATCATCCAAAACCCTCTCCTAAACCCCCTAGGATGCTCCTGAGATCTCCAAAATCCCCCTCAGGAACCTCCTTGAGCCCCCCAAACGCCTCCAGGGACCCCCCAAGCCCTCCCCCAAGCCCCCCTGTCCCCCCTCACCGCCAGCCTGTCGAGGGAGACACCGTAGTTGTGGCGAGTGGGGGTCCCGTTCCTCCGCACCTCAGCCCCTGAGACCACCCACGTGGGGGGCGTGGGAAGGTCGAGCAGCGTCGGGGGCAGGGCGGGGGGGCCAGGGGGACCCTGCCCGGGGGGCAGCGCCGTCAGCCCCAGGCGCACTGAGCCCGCCCAGCGCTCGTCCAGTGCCTCGATCCGCACCTGGGACCCACAAGGAAAGATGGGCGGCGATTAGATGGGCGCGGATCAAGTAGGAGGGGATTAGTTGGGTGGGGCTTAAGGGAGCAAGGATTAGGCAGGTGAGGATTAGAGGGGAGGGGATTAGAGGGAAGGGATTTAAGTAGATGGAGTTTAGCTAGGCAGGGATTAGATAAATGGGGCTTGAGTGGGGATTAGAGAGACAGGGTTTAGACAAGTGAGGCTTAGATGGCAGGGATTTAGAAGGGAGTGGCTTAGGTGAGGCTTACAGGGGCAGGGATCAGATGGACAGGATTTAGACAGGAAGGGCTTGGATAGGTGGAGCTTAGATAGGTGGGGGTTGGAGAGAGAGGCTGAGATAGGCAGGGTTTAGGCAGATGGGGATAGATAAACGGGGCTTGGAGAAGCAGGGCTTAAATAGGTGGGGATTAGAGAGGTGGTATTTAGATAGGTGGCGCTTAGGTGGGGTTTAGAGGGGAGTGACTTGGATAACTGCAGCTTAGATAGGCAGAGATTAGAGGAGCGTGGCTTAGAGCAGAGAGGCTTAGACAAACAGGCCTCGGGGCAGATCTTAAATGGAGATTAGAGGTTTGAGGATTACAGGGGTGGGGCTTGGATAAGTGAATCTTAAGGGGTGGGGCACGGCAGGGCTCCGCCCACCACAGGCGAGGTGGGGGATCACCTGGAGAGTGGGTTGGAGCTGTGTACCCCCTTGCAGATGGTGGGGTTTCCCTTGACCCCTCCCTGATGATCCTACTCCCATGTGGGCATGTCCCTCCCTTAACCCCACTCCCGTGTGGGCGTATCCAACCCCACCACACCCCCTTCTCTTAAAGAGACAGCGCCCCCTAATTCCAAACTTCCAGAGCCCCTGTGAGCCCCACCCACCTCGAAGAGCTCTCCGGGGCGCAGGTGGGAGCGGGAGAAGACGAGTCCGTGGCAGTAGCCGGCCACACGCGCGGCCCCCAGGCCCTCAGCCCCCAGAGCCACGTTCTGCCCGCAGCGCCCGTGGAAGCGCTGGCATGGCCCAGGGGCTGTGGGGAAAGAGGGGTTATGGGACCCCCACCCCTTCCCTGTCACCCCCCATGGGCTGGCACGGCCCGGGGGCTGCAGGTGGAGGGGTTCATGGGACCCCCACCCACCTCCCCCCAGAGCACAGATTCCCCCTGGGACCCCTGGCACGGCCGGGGGCTGTGGGAGGATGGGAAATGGGTTATGGAACCTCCACCCCTTCCTGTCAACCTTCCAAGGGCTGTGGGACCTCTGGCACGGCCCGGAGACTGTGGGGGGATGAGGGGGCAGGGGGAGGGTTTATGGGATCCCCACACACTTACCCCCAGAGCACAGACTCCCCGGAATTGCTGGTGAGGGCAGGGATTGCAGGGTAAGGGGTGTGGTCATGGGAAAGGGGGTGTGGCCAGGGGCAGCACCTCCCAGTGACCCCCAGTTCCTCCCAGTGCCCTCCAGCACCTCCCAGTGCCCTCCCAGTCCCTCCCAGTGCCCCCCCAGTGTTTTCCAGTGCCTCCCCAGTCCCTCCCACCGCCATCCCAGTCGCCCCCTGCTGTGCCCACCTGGCGAGGGGGGCGGACAGGCCTTCTCTGGGGGGGCTCCAGGGGCCAGGCTGTTGTCAGCCGGGCCGGTGGCCCCAGTGAGGGACACCTGGACACACTGACCATAGAGATCCACCACGGCATACACCTCTGGAGACAGGGACAGTGTCACCTGTGTCACCTCAGTGTCACCTGGACACACTGACCACAGAGATTCACCATGGCATAAACCTCCGGGTCACCTCAGTGTCACCTGCGTCACCTGAGTGTCACCTCAGTGTCACCTGGACACCTGGGTAGGCACCATTGACGAAGTACCACAGGTCTCCCTGTCCCCGTGTCCCCATGTTCCTGTATCCCCTCAATGTCCTGGGTGTCCCCAATATCCCTGGGTGTTCCTGGTGTTCCCATACCTGGTGGCAGCCCCGAGCAGGCCACGCCCTGGTCAGCCCCATCGATGAAGTACCGCAGGTCCCCCGTCCCCGTGCGCATCATCCCGATCCGGGCGCCCGTTCCCAGCGCGTCCAGGTCGCAGCCGTAGTTATTCCGCATCGTGTTCCCATCCTGCATGATGGCAGTGCCACTGCAGGGACACAGGGACATCACTGGGGACACTGCCACAATTGCAGTTGGGGATATCAGTGGGGACATGGCCATGATGGCAGTGCTACTGCAGAGACATCAGTGGGGACACTGGGGACATTGTGGGGACATTGGGAACACAGCCACAATGGCAGTGCCACTGTGGGAACAGGGGGGGCACTGACATGGGGACATTGCCATGGGGACACTGGGGACATGGGTGTCCCCCAGGTGACCCCGTGGGGACACCGGTAACCCCCACATTCCACAGGTGACCCCACAGGGACACTGTTGATCCCCCAAGTGACCCCGTGGGGACATGGGTGACCCCCAGGTGACCCAGATGTCCCCACCTGAGCATCCAGGTGTCGTAGTCGATGTCTGTCATGGTGTTGGGGAACTCCAGGTCCTCGGGGCGGATGGCGGTGACACCTGCGGGGACATGCGGGGGGACAGGTGACACCTTGTCTCTGTCCTCATGACCTCATATCCCCCCCACTGTCTCTTCATATCCCCCCCATTGTCCCCAATGTCCCCATGTCCCTGTTTCCCCCTTTGTCCCGATATCCCCAACGTCCCCAATGTCCCCCTCAGTGTTCCCAATGCCCCCCCAGTGTCCCCATGTCCCCCAGTGTTTTCAATGCCCCCTCAGTGTCCCTATGTCCCGCCAGTGTCCCCTCACCAGCCTCGATGGACCCCGACCAGCGATCCACCATCTTCTGGATGACGATCTCAAACAGCTCCCCGTCCCTGAGCGCCCTGGGACCCCAAAAACAGGGGGTTACCCAAAAGTAGGGATACCCCAAACCGACGGGGACACCCCCCACAGCTCCTCGTCCCTGAGGGCCCTAGGACTTCAAAAACACGGGGGTCATCCCAAAATAGTGACAAATCAAAATAGGGACCCCCCCCCCCCTCCACAGCTCCCTGTCCCTGGGACCCCAAAAACGGGCAGATCATCCCAAAAACATGAACACTCCCCCACCCACAGCTCCCCTTCCCTGAGCACCCTGAAACCCCAAAAACGGGGAGTCACCCCAAAATAGCTACACCACAAAATAGGGACACCAACACACACAGCTCCCTGTCCCTGGGACCCCAAAAATGGGGGGATTACCCCAAAAACAGGGACAGCTCGAATTAGGGATATCCCCTCACCCACAACTCCCTGTCTCTGAGATCCCAAAACCAGGGAGGGCACCCCAAAACCAGGGAGTCACCCCAAACCCAGGAGGCCCCAAGTGACCCTGAAAACCTCTGGGGACCCCCTCTGGGAGGTGGCAGCAGATTTTGTGCCGAATTTGGGGATTTTGGGGCTACAGGGATGTTTTTTTGGGTGAATTTGGGGGTTCTGGGGTGCACTTGGGGTTTTTGGAGCAGATTTGGGGTTTTGGGGGTGGCACCTGTTGGAGATGCTGATGGCATCATTGGACTTGGGAGTGGCAGTTCTGCCTCGGGGGGCTTTATGATGATTTTGGGCTGGGTCTGGGTGTAATTTTGGGTTTTTTGTGTGGATTTGGGGTTTTTGGGTCGGGTTTTGGGTTTTTGGGGCTGTACCTGTTGGAGATGACGATGGCATCGTTGAACTCCGACCTGCAGTTCTGCCTCAGGGCGGTCCTGCCGCCGTTGGTGATGACGGCATTGGCGCCGTGCAGGCGATGGAACCGGAGATCGCTCGGGGACCCCCCCGGGGAGGAGCCCTCAGGGGACTCCCCTGGGCTGTCACCGTCTGAGCCCTCCCCCGACAGCGGCGGCACCTCTGGGGGCACACGAGGGGCATGTGAGACCCACATCCGGATGCCACACCTGGCCTGGAGACCCCCAGACCCAGCCCACCCCCCCCAAACCCTGAGCCCCTAGACCCAGCCTGGACCAGCCTGGAGCCCCTAAACCCAGCCCTGAGCCCCCAGACCTGGCCTGGAGCCCCCTGATCCAGTGTCACCACCAAGCCTAGTGTCCCCAGCGACCCTGATGTCCCCAAGATCTCCAGTGTCCCAATGTCCCCAACATCCCCATCACCCCCAACGTCCCCGATGTCCCCCCTGTGTCCCCAACACTCCCAATGTCCCCATCATGCCCAGTGTTCCCCCAATGTCCCCAACCCATCCAATGTCCTCAATGTCTCCAATGTCCCCAACATCCACAATGTCCCCATGTCCCACCTCCCTCATCCACGATGGTGGCCTGGGCTGCCTGCCCGTACAGAGCCAACGCCCCCAACATCCCCAATGTCCCTAATGTCCCCAACGTCCCCGTGTCCCACCTCCCTCGTCCACGATGGTGGCCTGTGCTGCCTGCCCGTACAGGTCGACCACGGCGTAGACGTTGGGGGGGACGTTCCAGGCCGCGGGGCCTTGGGGGGCCCCGTTGACGAAGAAGTGCAGGGTCCCGTCGTCCCTGCGCACCACGCCCACCGTGTCCCCCGCCTGAGGGGACAGTGTCACCAGGGGCAGGGCCATCACAACCCACTGTGCCCCCAGGAGAGCCTCAGGGGTGTCCCCACAGCCCCCACCATGTCACCCGCCTGAGGGGACAGTGTCACCAGGGGCAGGGCCACCATGGCCCTCCCCCTGTCCCCTCCCCCCTATGTGGTGTCCCCATGTCTCCATTGTGTCCCTATATCCTCCCGTGTCCTCATGTTCCGCCAGGGGGTGTGGGGGTCCCACCTTGAGTCGGTCCAGGTTGTGTCCGTACTCGTCCAGGACGGTGGTGCCGTTGTGCATCACCCCATTCCCCGTCATCATCCACGTGCCTGGGGACACAAGGGACAGTGGGATGGGAGGTGGCACCTCAGGGACATGGGGACACAGGGGACAGCGGGGACATAGGCCGGCACCTCGGGGCATGTGGGGACATGGGGATGGCACCACGGGGACATGGGGACATGGGGTGCCACCTGGAGGATGTGGGGACATGGGGATGGAACCTCAGGGACATTGGGGACACAGGGTGCCACCTCAAGGATGTCACCTCAGAGACACAGGGATGTCACTGTGGGGATGTGAGGTGGTACCTCAGGGATGTGGCAACTGGGGATGTCACCTTGAGAACATGGGGTGGCACCAAAGCAATGTCACGTCAGGGACAAGGGGATGGCATCTCAAGTACGTGGGGATGTGACCCCAGGGGTGTCACCACAGGGATGTCACCACAGGGATATTGGTCATAGCGGGGGCAGCTGCAGGGGGGTGGGGTAGGGATGGTGACACTGTGGCTGACATCGGTGACTCACCTGAGTGCACGTTGGTCACAATGGGGTGAGAATGGTGACCCCATGGTGACAATGTGATGACACTAGTGACCGTGGGGACTCACCTGAGCGCAGGTTGGTCATGGTGGAGGGCAGCTGCAGGTAGGCCGGGTTGTGGGTGGTCACCCCGATCTCGATGGACCCTGCCCACTTGTCCACCATCTTGTCAATGCGCACCTGGAACAGCTCGTTGTCCCTCAGGGCCCGAGCGCTCAGCACGACCCCGTGGTTGAAGTCATCGGTGGCACTGGGGACAAGGACACTGTCACCTCATATGAGCACACCACAGGGACAGGGACACCACATTGTTCCTCAGAGCCCGAGCACTCAGCACGACCCCATGACTGAAATCATCAGTGGTCCTTGTTGACCGTAATCACCCCAATGACCCCATAATGTCCCCACATCCCCCTGTGGTCACTCACTGTGGCCGCAGTGCCGTCCGGCCCTCGTTGACCACGGCTGCCTTCTGACCACAGTTGGGGTGGAAGAGCAGGCGTGGGGCCGGGGGTGCGCAGGGGCGCGGGGGTGGGTGGGCGGCGCCGGGGGGCCGTCGGGGGGTCCCCTCAGGGGACAGGGCACGCAGGATGGCGTTGTTGCGGCGCAGGCGGTCGCTGTGGTTGTGGTTGTGCACGATGGTCACCTTGACGGCCATCCCGTACAGGTCCACCACCCCATACACCACCTGCGGGGTCAGCGTCGTGGCCACTCCTGGGGACATGGGGACATGGACTCACCGTGGGGCATGGGGACACAGGGAGAGCATGGGGACAGCCTAGGGACAGCCTGGGGACATGCCGGGGGCCAAAAGGTCATGGAGAGTCAATGTTGGGGACACTCCACAGAAGTGGACAATCTCAAGAGCTGTTTTGGGGTCACTCAGGCCCACCGGGGCTCAACATTGGGTTCCCCTTTCAGGTTCCCCGTTTTGGAATCACCACTTTAGGGTCCCTGTTTTGGGGTGCAGATTTTGCAATCCCCATTTTGGGGTGCAGATCTTGCAGTCTCCATTTCAAGATTCCCATTTCCAAGTCCCTGTTTTGGGGTCCCCTTTTGGGGTGGAGTTTTGGGGTGCCCCTTCTGTGATCCCTGTTTTGGGGTCCCTGTTTCAGAGTCCCCATTTCCAGATCCCCATTTTGGGATGCAGTTTTGTGGTCCCTGTTTTGGGCTCCCCATTTTGGGGTCCCCCTTTTGGAGTCCTCATTTTAGGGTGGCCATTTTGGGGCGCAGTTTTAAGTTCCCTGTTTTGTGATCCCTGTTTTTGGGTCCCCATTTTGGTGTGCAAATTTTTGGGGTCCCTACTTCGGGATAAAGTTTTAAGTTCCCTGTTTAGGGGTCCCCATTTTGAGGTCCCCATTTTGGGGTCCCTGTTTGGGGTGCAAGTTTCAGGGGGCAGGTTTTGGGGTCCCCATTTTGTGGTGCAGATTTTGGAGTCGCTGTTTTTGGGTCCCACCTTGGTCGACGCCATTGATATAGAAGTGCAGAGCGTTGTTGGCCTTCCTGGTGAGCCCAATGTGATCCCCCTCCTGGGGGAGCAAAAACGGGGTCACTGGGATCCCCCAAACCAGGGGGACTCCCCCAAAACTGGGGGGACCCCCCAAAACCCGCTGGGGGGTCCTGAAGGAGGCAGGGATGGGTTGGAGACCCCCCAAAATGTCTCTAGAACACAGTGGGGACATTCATGGGGGAATTTGGTAGGGTGCCCTCAGAATATGGGGGTTCTGTGGGGGGTTGAGGGGCAGAAAGGAGGGACTTGGGGACTACCTCAAAATTTGGGGCATCCTGGGGGTCTCCAATAAGGGGAGTTTAGGGGGGTGCCCCCAAAATTTGATGAGTTCTTGGGGAAACATTGGGAGAGTTCCCTGAATTCTGGACTGCGGGAAATTCGAGAGGGGTCCCCCGGTCTTGGGGTGGCTCAGGAGACTTTTAGGAGGTCCAAAAAGGGGAAATTTGGGGTGCGGGAATCTCTCCATTTTATGCATCACAAGGAGGTTTGGGGGGGGAGAAATCCCTGAATTTTGGGGAGGTCTCTGAATTCTGAGGGGGCTGAGGGGGATCAGGGGAGTCACCTGCAGCTCATCCAGGCTGAACTCGCAGTATTCCCGGCGTGTCCCTTTGCCGTTGGTGAGGATCCCGCAGCCGCTCATCATGATGGTCCCTGGTGGAGGGAAGAGTTGGGGGGCACCCCAAGTGTTGGGGCAGTCCCCCACCCCTAATTTGGGGGAGTTCAAGTGTCTGGGGACTGTTCTGTTCTAAGGAGATTTTGGGAGGCCCAACTCTGTTTTTGGAGGGTCTTGGAAACACTGAGGTTTCCAAACAGAGACATCCCCCTCGACCCTGGGGGGGTTTCCCCCGGATCCGGGGGGGTTACCCTGAGATTTTGGAGTTCCCTGAGGGGTCCCAGACATCCAGGGGTCCCCCCCAAACCCTTCATAGGGGGATATGGGGATCCCTAGGTCTATTTTGAGGGGGTCCTGAAAGCACCAATATTTCCAGCTAGAGACACTCCGAACTTAGGGTGGTTTCCCCTGGATTTGGGGCGTTCTCCCAGATCTGAGGGGGTCCCCACCGTGTTTCTGGGTGGCTCACCCGAGCGCAGGTTGGTCATGGTGGCCGGGTACTCAAGGCTGTTGGGGTTGTGGGCGGTGACTCCGATCTCGATGGACCCCGACCACTTGTCCACCAGTTTGTCGATGCGGATCTAGAGGGGCCAAGGGGGAAAAGAGGGGGTCAGGGACCCCCAAAATTCCACAGGAACAGCCCCAGGACCACAGACCACCCAGAACCCCTTTAAGACATCCCACGACCGCCAAAATGTCCTTCAAGAAACCCAAAACAACCCCCATGACCCCCAGAACCCAAACACCCTGTAGAACCCCTCTAACGTCCACCAGTTTGTCGATAAGGATCCAGGGGGTCCAAGGAGGAAAAGGAAGGGGTCAGAAACCCCTAAAATCCCACAGGAACACCCCATGACCACCCAGAACCCCTTTAACAGCTTCCAGGACCCCCATAACACCCACAGACCACCCCAGGACTCCTCTAATTACTCCAAACACCTCCCCGGCCCCCCCTAGACCCCCCCAAAACCCCACCTCAAACATCTCGCCATCCCTGAGGGACCTGTTGGTGAGGATATCACCCCTCAGAAAACCCCCAGGACCCACGTAACTTCTCCCAAACCCCTCCAGGACCGCTATAACACCCTCAGATACCCCCAAATGCCCCCAGGAGCCCTCTAACTCCCTCCCAACCCCTCCAGGACACACCCAGCGCACCCCCCCCAAACCCTGCCCTGAACATTTCCCTGTCCCTGAAGGGCCTGTTGGTGAGGACATCACCACCCAGAACCCTCCAAAACACCCCCCAAACCCCTCCAGGACCACCTGAGACCCCTCCCAGAGCCCCACCTCGAACATCTCCCCGTCCCTGAGGGGCCTGTTGGTGAGCACCACACCGTTGTTGAACTCATCCAGGGGCCGCCTGCGCTCGGCCGTTTTGTGCCCATTGCTGAGCTTGATGAGGGCCCCGCACTTCTCGTGGAACAGCAGAGCCTCATTGGTCAGCCCCGCGCCTGGGGGAGAGGTCAGTCAGGCCATGCCCACACTTGGGGACAGAGACCCCCAACAAATGGGACAAAACCTCCCTAAAAAACAATCGCTTGTATCTTCGTTACAGCAGGTGAAGCTCCACCCACTCCGGGTGGGACAAACCCCTTGGGTGGACAGGCCTTCAGGACTGGCCACAGCCCCTTTACAAATGGTCACGCCCACCCAAAAAAGGTGTCACAGACTCCCAGAAAGGAACAAATACACCCCACCCAAAACATCCATCCGTCCATTATGAAAACGGGTGCTTCGATAGGCCACATTCCTTGGGATAGGACATGCCCACTTTGGGAAAAGCCACACCCCTTATAAGTGCCATACCCCTCAAACTGGGTCACAGACCCCCAAAAAGGAGGCAGAGACCCCCTGCAAAAAAAGTGCCTGTATCTATTATAGGAGGCGAACTGCTCACTTTAGGCGGACAGACCCCTCAACTTACCGCACCCATTTTTGGAACAACCGCACCCCCAGAACTTCACGTATAGTCAAGGCACCACCCCCTCGAACAAGTCATACCCTTCTAACAAATCCCATTGGTCCACAGTGAAGAGGGGGCATAGCTCTGCCACCACGATGTCCCCACCCACCAGCAAGCCAGACCTCTGCAAAAAAGCTTCACTCACTGCATGACCACACCCACTGAAGACAAATCACACTCTCTCATGAACACACCCACCCACAAGTGGGAATGTGTCTGGAGAAGACCCCATCCCCACCCTAAACTCCACTCCTTTTGTGGGGCCCCATCCCCTTTTACCATAGACTACACCCCATCAGTCCCAAACCGTGCCCTCTCAGTCCCCGGCCTGTCCCTTTTGCCCCAGGCCGCGCCCACGGTATCACTTACTCCCTCCCGGTGGTTCGAGGCTGTCGGGGAACTTGTCCGGGCGGGGCTGGGGGCGAGCCGGGGGGCTGGGCTGGGGGACAGCACTGGGGAGGCACCAGGGAAACCAGTGACCCCACAGGAAACACCCTGAGACCCCTAGAGAGCCCCCAGACCCCCAGAGACATCAAAGACCCCTCCCCGATCCCCTAAAGACCACCCTCAACTCCCACCTACCCCAGGCTGCCCCAAATACCCCTGACCCTCTCCCCAATCCCAAATACCCCCTCGCCCCCTCCCTGCCCCCAAATACCCTCTTGACCCCCTCCCTGCCCCCCAAACTGCCCCCAAATACCCTCTTGACCCCTTCCCAAGTCCCCAAACACCTCCTCTACCCCTCCCTGCCCCCCAGACACCCCCTCAACCCCAGCCCCAGTCCCACACACACACACCCATCTCCCCCAACCTCTCCAATGATACCCCCATCACCCCCAAACCCCTTCCAAGCCCCCCAGTTACCCCTCCAAACCCCTGTCCTCCACCCCCCGTACCGGCCACCCCGTTGCTCTCTGTGGGCAGCAGCGGCGGCGGCTCCGGGGGCAGGAGGGTGGCTCCCCCTCCCAAAACCTCAGGCTGGGGGGCGGGGGGCATCGCCTCGGGGGGCACCACGGTCACCTGGGTGCACTTGCCGTAGAGATCCACGACCGCCCACACGCGAGGGGGGATCCCGGCGGCCGCCACCCCCCAGTCACGCCCGTTGACCCAGAGCCGCAGCTCCCCCCCCGCCGTGGCCTGCACGCCCACCCTGTCCCCCTCCCCCAGCGCGTCCAGGTCAGGCCCGAAGTCCTCGCGCAGGGAGCGGCCGTCGCGCAACACCGAGCAGCCCGAGACCACCCAGGAGCCCCCCCGCAGCCCCGTGGCGCTGCTGGGGAACTCCAGCTCGGCGGGGTCCAGGGCGGTCACCCCCACCTCGATGGAGCCGCTCCACGAGTTCACCTGGGGAGGAGGGGAGAGAAAAACAGGGGTTAAGGGGTCGTGAGGGGGATCCTGAGGGGGGTTTGGGGACTTATGGGGGTCCAGGGCTCCACCTCAATGGAGTCACTCCACAAGTTCAGCTGGGGGGAAAAAGGGGAAAAAACAGGGGTTAGAGGGCTCTGAGAGGGGGTTGGGGGGCCTGAGGGGATTAAAACAGCAGTTTAGGGGATTATGGAGGGGAAATGAGGAGTTTGTGGGGTCTTGGGGGGTCCTGTTGGGGGGCTTGAGAAAGTTTGGAGGTCCTGAGGGGGATAAAAGAGTGGTTATGGGGTTCCAGTCCCTCCCAGCACCCCCCAGGCCCCTCTCAGTCCATCTCAGTGCCTTCCAACCCCTCCTAGTTGTCTCCAGTCCCCCCCAGTGCCCCCATCCCAATATGACCCAGTGCCATCCAACCCCTCCCAGCCCCGCCAACCGACCCCACCCCCCTCCCAGTCCTTCCCAGTATCCCCTCTCCAATCTGCCCCAGTCTTTCCATCACCCCGTGTCCTTCCAGTCCCCTCCCACTATACCTCCCTAATCTGCCTCAGTCTTACCATCATCCCCAGTGTCCTCCCAGTCCATCCCAATCACCTCCCAGTATCCCCTCTCCAATCTACCTCAATCTTTCCATCACTCCTAGTGTCACCCCAGTCCATCGCAGTATCCCTTCCCTAATCTACACCAGTCCATCCCAGTCTCCCCCAGTCTATCCCAGTCCTCCCCAGTCCCTCCCAGTCCCCCTAATGCCTTCACAGCCCAGTCTCAGTCCTCTCCCAGTTCCCGCCAAGTCCATGCCAGTCTGTCCCAGTCCTCGCCACTCCCCTTCCAGTCCCTCCCAGTATCCCCTCCCCAATGTACCCCTGTGTCTTTCCATCACTCCCAGCGTCCTCCCAGTCCCTCCTGCTCTCCTCCACTCCCCTTCCAGTGCTCCCCAGTCCCTCTCAGTGCCCCCCACTCCCCTCCCCGCGCCCCCGGCCCACCTTCCTATCGATGCGGACGGTGAAGATGCGGCCGGGCCTGAGCGGCTCTCGGCTCAGCACCAGCCCGTGGTTGAACTCCTGCCCGGGCTGGGCCCGCGCGGCGCTGCGGCCGCCCTGCGACAGCGACACGAGCCTCCCGGTGCGGGGGTGCAGCTCCGGGGCGGGGGGGGGCGAGGCCGCCCCCGGGGGTCCCCCCGAGGGTTCCCCCGAGCCCCCGCCGGGCCCCGGCGGAGCCGCCATCGCTCCGCGCCCGCCGCCACCGCCGCCGCGCGACCTTTCGCGACGCCGCACGCTTTACGGCGGCGTGGCACGCACCCCAGTCGTTATATCCACCACCGGGGGATAACTCACCCGTTACCCCTCCCCCCTCCCCGCCCCTCCCGTCTCCTTCTACTCCGCAAATCACTCAAAGTAACCCCCCCGCGACCCTCACCCGCTTTGATCTTTTTTCCCTTCACCCCCCGCCCTTGCCCGTGTCCCTTCCGCGCTTTACGGCGGCGTGGCGGCGGCTCCCCGACACACCTCTTCCACACTTTACGGCAGTGTGACGCCCGCCCATCTGCGCCGTTTCCCTGCTTGACGGCAGCGCCTTGACGACGGTTGCCGTGGGAACGGGCCCTGCCTGGCAACGCACGCGGCAGAACTGGGGAGCTCAAAGCAAGGTCCCTGGAATGGATTCAGGCATTCCTGAGAGTATCAGAGGTGTAGCTGTCCGTCCTGGCCATGCAGCTCTGGAATGGACTGTAATTGGGTTATTAAAGTGGTGCTCCAATTGCAAAAGGAGTGTGGGATTGGAATTAAGGAATGAGTGGTGATGGTACCGTTGGCTGTTTTCTCTTGACTGGAATTGTGAGAGCTGCAGGAGTGCAAGGTGTGGGTTCCAGTCCCCACCGTTTGGTTTGCACATGCCCTGGTCAGACACAGGTACAGCATTCTCAGCCCTTAACACAAACGAGGGAGTGTCAGTTTGGCAGGGCTGGTACAAGGAGAACTCGTGCAGGCACCTACAGAGACAGCAGGAATGGGAGCGTGGTGTGGAGAAGAAAAATTGTAGGCTGTAGATGCCGAGAAATTTGTCCTTCCTTTGTCCTGTGCTCCGCATTTAGCAATGGGTCAGCTGCAGAAGTTTCCTGGGGAGCCTGGAAAACGATGCAGGGTCCGCTAAGAAAAGTGGGGCCAAAAGAGCAGGACCTACGTCTGGGAGTGTGGGAGAAACAAGGAAGAGAGCAATGCACGGGTCATGCTCTGTCTCCAGGAGGGAGGGCAGCAGGAAAGGCCATGGACTAAGACACCGAAGTGCTGTTCCCTAGGGAGGCCCTGCACAGCACTGAACTTTCTGCACTTGCTGTCCCTTTCCCAGCAGAGCCAAAGCGTCAGGTGCAGGTGCTGGGGACATGGAACTGGCAAGGACAAACTGGGAGGGCGTTTGCAAAGAAGGGGGTAGAAGGAACTCTTGACGTGCTTTCTTTGCTTGTTCATCCCACAGCATTGGCACGAGAGGAAATACCTCAGAGGGGCTTGCCTCCAACTAAGCTCTGAATATGTGCAGGAGGTTTCAGCGGGGAGAAAAGAGCAGTGGAAGAAAAGCACCCTAAACAGTAGCCAGTGGGGATCATCGGGTTTTGCAGCCAAGAAAAACAAGGACAGAGATGAGGGAATCGGGCTCCAGTTAATAATGATTTGATGGGTGTACGAATCATTCCCGGCTGTTTACAGTTCCCGCGCCTGGCGCCGACCCCGCCCCCGGCTCGCCCCGCCTCTGCCCGCGCCCCGAGTCAGGCGGCCGCCTGAGAGGCCAACCGCCGTTCTGTCCCCTCCCATGAGGGACAGGCTCACGAGTGGGCAGTGAGGATGACGAGGGGCGGGACAGCCTCAGGTTGTGACCAGGTCTACCCGTTGGACTCGATCACCAGGTCTATCTTTTAAATACAGACACCAGATCTACTTACCTAAAGGAGACCAAGTCTACCCTTTCGACAGAGACACCAGATCTACCGGCCCCTGAGGGAACGAGGGCGGGGCCGCGCGGAGGGGCCGGGCCGGGCTAGGCGGGCAGAGCGGGCGGGGCCATCCCCGTGCAGCCTGTCCTGCAGCCCCCCGGGGATGTCCCTGCAGCAGTGCAAGGGGTGCGGGGAGCGCAGCAGGTGCAGCGAGCTGGGGCGGGGCTGTGACCCGGGACAGTGTGGCTAATTCCCCAAAACCCGCATCCAAAACGAGCCCGAAACAACCCCAAAGCCCAGAGCCAAACGCGGCGGGATGGTGCTGGCCCCGCCCCCCGGCTCGCACTGGCCCCGCCCCCTGGCCGCCCGGCCCCGCCCTGCCCGTCTCCAAGATCGCCGCTGTCCCCGCAGGCTCCGCCGCCGCCCCCCCTTCCCCTTGTCCCGGGAGAGCTCCCGGACGGGACGTGACCGCAGAGCTTCCCCCGCCTTTCCCCGGCCCCAGCAGCGCCCGCCGGGGCTGCGGCGGCGGCGGGAGCCGCGCGGAGGGGCCGGACCGGGCCGGGCCGGGCGGGCAGAGCGGGCGGGGCGGGGACAGCGCGGGCTGCGATTGGACGGAGGCGCTCGAGTGCTGATTGGGCAGCCCCTGCCGGGCCCGCGCTATTCAAGGGCGGGCGGGGCCGGCGCAGCTGCGGCGGTTTGAGCGGGAGGGCTGAGCGGGGGCTGAGGGTGGGGCCGAGGGTGGGGCCGGTGCCGCTGCGGCTTTTTGAGCGTGAGGGCTCAGCTGGGGTCGCTGTGCTGTGCTCGCTGTGCTGGGCTGGGAGAGCGTCGTGTCCTCTTCTGGAACGGGCGAGCTGGAGCGTGTTTGGGGCCGTGCCGCGCTGCGCTGGGCTGGGCTGGGCTGGGCTGGGGAGAGGAGAGCGCCGTGTGCTCTGTGCTCGTGGAAGGGGGGAGCTGAGCGTGTTTGGGGCCGCTCCGCACTGTGCTGGGCTGGGGAGAGGAGAGCGCCGTGTCCTCTGTGCTCGTGGAAGGGGGGAGCTGAGCGTGTTTGGG